GAAGTTGTTGCATTTTTGAACTTACCTGGTACCTATACCTAATCCAACAAACAGTCCTGTTCGGTTGAAATCCCGTGACGGCGCGTGTATCCAATACCGGTTATCAATCAGCATAATGCTATTTCTATACATCAGTTGTGTAATGTGTATGGATACAATTTTAGGATAAATGATAAAAAGATTCTGATTTAACCACACACGCGTCAAACCGTGTAATACACGTTATAAGTACAGGGTGGGCCAGGGAAACGGGAAAACAATATTTATCGTGGAAAACGTAGAGTGTATGATATGTGCCGTTGGGGGTTCAAAACACTAAAATCTCAAGCTTGGAAAATAATGTCAGTGAGATGGTGTACACTTTGCTTTTAAGATGGCCCTACAAGAAAAAATCCATCTTCTTGAAACCACGGATTGTCAAGACCAGGAAGGGTGTAAAGTGTTTTGAACCTTGGATGGCATGTTGTGTACTCTACTTTTTTTAACACAATAAATATTGAAGATAGCTTACTACCAATTCAAATATTTAATAAATAAAAATATAATTTTGAAAATCATTTATAATGTATTAATCTTGAATGATCAATTTTCTTTTTTCCTTTGATTTAAAGTGTAAGCAGTGCTTACATGCACGCTACGCCCCTGAATGGCAACAAATAGATTAAATTTAATTATATTGAGTGTCTTACGTTAAATGGATCACCTGTATGCGATCCAACGATTTCGAAAACTGTGTTATTTATGCGACGAGTACATTATACAATATTATAGTGTTTAACAATGGTTTTATGGCCCGTTAAGCTACATGATGATGATTATGATAAACGGTATTGTAATGTGTAGCATATATATGCTTTATTTTTTATTTCGTTAATGTCGACGTCCAACAAACGAGCGGATGGTGATTTATGTAAATATTTAATAAACTAATGATGCTAGCTAATATGTTAACCAGACACTTACCATAAGTACTAATTTTCCAATAACCCAACAGATATGCCATTTGAATTCAAACGTTTGCAGTTCCCGGTGTGACTCACTTTTGCAATGACCATCAACAAAGTACAAGGACAATTGCTGCAAGTGTGTGGACTAGACTTGGCGAATCCATGTATAACTGTATGTGGCCAGCTCACCTTTTGATTTATTCGCGTACGCAACAGACGGAAAAACAAAAAATATCGTGTAAAAATATAAAGTATATTTTAATTTAAAAAATTGTCCTTCAATATTTATGAAAACACTTTGTACAACAATAGTATTTAACGAAATATAAATTTGCGCTGTTTAACATTTACTTATGCATTTAATAGACTTAAAACTTGATTCCTATTAAGGTAGATAAAATGTATAATACACATCGTGTAAGACCTTAGTAAATTAATTAATTAAGTCTTGAACCAATATCTTACCTCGGTATAGCGTCTGGACTATAGTTGTACCGTGCTATAATGTTTTGACTGACAGACAACAACAATTGTTTGGCTTCTATAATTGTAAGCATAGCACTCAAGTCTTCACATAGGTCGTAACTCTTGTAAATTTCTAACACTTAAAAAAAAAAAAAGATACATCAAAATACTTATTTATTTCATAACTATAAAAATATGTTTAGAGCAACGAACATTTACTAACAAACAAAACATATAATTTAAACTTGCATAGCGACGACAATAATACATACAAAAATATCACGTGATAAAGTATTAATATAGAAATAAAAAAAACATTCAACTTTGTGTTATTTCAAAATGGATTTAAACATTGAAAATAGTTCAAAAAAGATTTTGTACCTTATCTTTAAAGCGAGTTAGATTAATTCTTAAAAATAACTCCCCATTGACCCATATTAATATTAAACTACCAGCTCTACTTGCAAGCCCTTTAAAATTCTTTTGGTTTTTGCGATTTTAGTGACATTCTAACGGAAGCAAAATAGCATGATTTGGTTGTTTTATTTACCGGTTGCCAAAAAAAATTAACGTGAACAACAACAAATTTTATTTAGGTTATGACGGAGAACATAAAAGCAACTATGGTTAATTAATAAAAAATAAAAGTTACATGTACCTTGTTACAGTTTATCTTTTGTTTGCACATAAACTTTATGCATATATTTTGATATTATTTAGGCTTAAGAAGTACTAAGCGCCTAAATATGCGAACTACCTAAAAACCATGTGTTATACCATTTTGAAATGCATAGGTAGGTATAACATTTTATATGATCTAAAACAAGGATTCTACATAATACATTTGCTGTGATGTGTTCTTAAAATTAGATATTATACATACAAAAAAAAAACCATTAACCTATAGAAAACACTTACCTACACTTGAAAAAATTGCATATCTGGAAATGTACATATATCAGCTACCACCGAGCTTTTGAATTGAAAACGTTTTCCTTTTTAAAAAAAAAAAAATGTAAACAATAAAAACAACTTTATGTAATTAAATTAAATATTGAATATAAATATTGCTATCCGCAAATATAACGTTAAAGTAACTGACTGTGTATTAAAAAATACAAAATTACCTACTACTACTTAGCAACGTGGGAAATAGCAGCCAGCAAAAAAAAAAAGGCTTCGCTCATCGCCGATATTAATATTATATTGTTTAAGCTATTATATTACATACAATTTTTGAAATTATTGACATAAAAATAATTTTTATACAATAAAAAAAAGCCATCATAATAGGGCCTAAATGATCATCTCTTCTGGAGGATAGGATTTTTTTATATGTTTTTGGTTTTCCTAAGCATATCGGTAGTAAGTACACTAACTAAACTCCAAAGAATAGTCCATATAATTTCGGATCTAATTCGGCTATTAAAAAAAAAAAACTAGCTATAATTTAAAATTTAAAGACATGTACATTTTTTGGGGGTTTTTCTTTATTTTAAAGGGGTATGTGTGAAATTTTTAAATTTTTGACCCAGTATCTAAAGTACGATCTTTGATCTACAAATTTGCTACATAAATAAGTGTGTTTGGCGGTTTATGGTATATCTTAGGCCCAGACACTTTAATAGACAAATGAAAATACATTATTTTACAAACATTATCTTGTCAACAGCTCCATACCGAAATAAAAAATAAAATAAAAATAAATGCCACACCTATTATGTTCACGGAGAACCATTTACAAATTTCATTTCAGTTTTTCTGTCAAAAGTTAACAACATATGCTAAAAATAACTATTACATGTTGTGACTTTATAATAACAGCGTATAAATAATTTTTAATAAAAATGTTTTGGAAAAATAAAAATGTCAAGTGGTATATCATAATATTTTGTAAAAAAATTGTTCGCGAAGTAATGTGAAACAGTTCAAAATTGATTCAAAGCTTAGTTTAATTTATAGTTTAAGAGGGGGGAAACCTGGATGAAGTGAAATTGTAAGAATGAAAAAAAAAAATGCTACCGCTATTATAATACCTAATACAAAAAATCGGACTTATTGTACTTACATCGACATCATAACGGTGTTGGAAAAAAAAACAAAAAAAGTTGAAATACCTACGTTAAAAACTTAAAAATGCACACCGTTCTTTGCGAATCAACGAATCAAATACAAATGAAATGAGTTATGACAATGCAGATTATTGTTTAATGTTCATAAAATATTATAACGAAGCAACCGTTGCCATAGACCAGACAAACCGAACCGCCGCCAAAACCCTCCGAAATTCAAAAATAGTTTGCCAAAATTAATTATTTTGTTCACTTAGCTCATTTAAAATAATACAAATTCAATATCAATACCAATTCCATTTTGTAAAATATCTATTGTAAATTATTGTAATAATATCATAAAATTATTACTATTATTTTTAAATTTGTGCTAACACTTTCAGGTCCATAGTGATTTTAGTGGAAGAAACTTGGCTTGTTTGTTGTGTATAATTTATTAGTACCTAATATTTTTCGATCTAAATAATTCAAAATATCATACATAATCGTTTATTAGTATCTACAGTCTACACCCTATCATTTTTTTAATAAATTTAAATATAACACATCGACATCGGTAATAATATTTGCTAATATTGTCATTTACTTTACTTATAGTTTTACATTTGAAATACCTAGGTAAATATTTAAATTATAAAATTTCAAAAATAAATTTAATAGTCATTTAACATATTATACCGTGTGAAATAAGAACGAATAAAGTCGATGAAGATCTAAGAAAGTATTGTTTTTACTAGAGTTCCCTATTGCACGTGTAAGTATAAACAACTACACAGTTCTTAGAAGTGTAAGTTTTAATAAGTCGTGTAAATGTATGTAAGACAATTGTTAGTTCAAGACATTCAAGTGTTTACAAAATTTCGTAAAATATATAGTTTTGAAAAGTTTTTCAAATCGGTGAAATATTTCTATTTTTATTATCATTATTTCCAATTAATTTAATGTGTGTTTATAATTACACGAACTTGTCCTACCTTCGGCTTTAGTTTTAACAATAATGTGTTTTTTTTCCAAACACAAGATATTATATTCCAAACCACTGAACCCATTTCAACTCTATAAATACACAGATAAAAGTACATTATTGGACAGAAATCTTAAAAAATTCAACACTTTCCCACCGAAATCGATAAAAATGTAACTATAAAGATACAATTTAAGTTATTATACATTTGCACATAGCATATTTTGGGCATCAAACCGTCAATTTTATTGTCTGTGTGATTTTATAATGTATTAAAAAAGTTCTTAGTTCAAATATTGACTAATACAAATATATTTGTCGCTTTTATTTATATTATTAACACAATGATCATCATCAATCAAGCTGTACAGTAGTTGAAATAAAATGTAAATATCAAAAGCCATTAATTAATTTAGTACAAGTAATTTGTATGAACAATTGTTGCCGTATCTAATTTAAAAAATATGCCATTATTTACTTATGATATTAAAACAATGTAAGATGATGAAAACATTAAGTTACGATCAGTACCATAGTATTAATTACACCATATCATACGAAATACTTGTGTTTTATTAGAGTGTAGTTAAAAATATTATAACAATGATTGCACACATTTGTGCATTTACGTTATGCTGTTTTGCTATAACGTTAAAAATTAAAACAATCGAATCAGCAGGTAACAACCAGGTAAGCATTTATTTTGAGCTATAATTTTTTTGTAGAAAAACTTTTGCAAAACCACTGCATCAAACTATCATTAAGGTTATTTTATTTTGAAAAACAATAACCAATTGATAAGTTATAGGATTGTAATGATATTTTACTAAATAAAACAATCCAACTTAGTTAATTTTTTTTAAGTTACTTTTGTATAACTATAAACATATATATATATATATATACATAATTTACAGATTATTCCTGTACGATTTTTCATTCAGTCGTGTCGTGAAGATTATGTGCATACCGTAAACGATTTAAAAACATTCAACAGACGTCCAATTGGTATTAAACCCGCAGACCTGAGAAATCTGACCAACCCAGCTATTGACAATATTCAAGAATACAAATCAAAATTAAAAAGCCGGGATAGATTAGAGAAAAAAGCCGAGGACATCAAATGTAGTTTTTGTGCAATTGCAAAATCAAACATTTTGTTTTTGAAGAACTTAGTTGAAAAGTTAAAAAACGGAATACCTTTCATTAACAACGAGGGTATTGTAGAACGTCTTAAACAGGAGGTCGAAATGATGATTCAACTATTACTGACGGCGAATTTGGAAACGGGCAAATGGCTTTGGAGTTATTTGTTGAAAATCGTAGCCATCACACAGTACTACGACAATACACCTTTTATCCACGAAAACCCATTCGAAGACGAACAACTGCAAACCGGTATTTCAGATTTCATCGGCACTTGTACGGTTAACAAATATCTACCTCCGGCTGCAATGGAATCAGATTTTGTTTTGAAAAACAGGAGTGTATACGAAAATATGTTCCGCGTTCTAAGGCGTACTGGATGGTTTTCTGATATTTTACTCGGCCGTGATTTGGTTACGGTAGAATTTTTATATCTAAAACCATTTTGGGACGACCAACGACAATTGTTGTTCAGACCAATAACCCAAGTCGATGTCGATTGGAGTAGGGCGAAACACCGACATGATGCCGAGGTAGTTATTACCAGAGAGTTCGTGCAAAACCGCTTGTGGATTTACCATCCGTACGGTCGCCTCGACCATCAACACTTGTTGATCAACATTATCGATGCTAGAATTTATTGTCACCTTTCGGTTATACTGTATGTTTATGAAAAACAAATATCCATACTCGACGAACAGACTCTGATGGACATAAAAATACTTGTATATGACGTTATCTTTGCCGCAATGTCGTTAACGTCGTTCAAAGATGATTTTCTCGTAGTCATTCTGTCAGAATTTGGTTTGTCAAGCATAATCAACACCGACGACATAAAAGACATTTTGGCAAGAGTGAGGACAAGGGCCAACGAAATCTTAAACGGTTTGAACGGTGCCAGCACAAGCAGAATCGACCGGCTCACTTTCAACGTTGACAACGAACGCCAACTGCCTACTAACGATTTGATAATAAGAATCATTAAGAACTTGGAAGACTATCTAACCGAATTTAACAACCACTTGCCGTTCGAATATAAATCGTTTTTGCATTTTATGGATGCGGTTAAAATGCCCGCTGCTCAATACATTTAAATTTTAAATTAATACCACGGTGTTTATACATAAATCAAGTTTTAATGAAATAAAAGAAAAAAAATAGCAAATATAATTGCAATTTTTAGTCGCACGTGTTGTCAAATACATCTGGAAAATTTAATTATTTACTTAAGCTGTTTAAACTATTGAACATAACCGTATAATGTTCATCATTAACATGGAATAATTCATTTCATTATAGTTATAGTTTATTAATTTAAATATAAAAAAAAACATATTAACACGATTATTATACCTTTACGATTGTTTTATGTAAAAAATTGTTTTTTTGGTATTTACAATTTTTAAAATGTTATTTTATTTAACAATAAGAAATTGAATTTTTCAAGTGAAAATCCTACACAGCCTAGTAAAGTAGTCAAAGAACTTGAATCGCTTTACGTAATTGAAATCTGACCATTTTATGTAGACGTAATTTTGTCAGTATTTTAAGTCTAAAATACCACCAAAAAAGCGTTTACTCATTGGCAAAAATTGTATTAGTTTAAAATAAAACTTCAAAGTTTTTGGAAATCAATCTGTTAATAAATTAACACAGTCGAAATTGTATAAAAGCCATTTTGACTTTTTATGTCTTTACTTTGGCACACAAACGGAAAAATCGACATGAAAAAACCTAACGAAAATTTTTGTAAAAAACAATTACTACTATTACCTAAAGTAATAGTAGTAATAGTTCTTCATTCTATTTTTCCACTGCTATTTAAATGTATAACTAGTAACACAATGTTCATAAATCAAGTTGTCAAGTAGTAAAAGGAAAATGTAATATCGAAACCACTGTAATTTGTATGAACAAGTGTTTTAGAATCAAATTAAAAAAAAAATTAATATTTAATTATGCTATTTAAACAGTATAACATGATGAAAACCTTAAGTCTTACGAGCATAGTATTATTAACTATATCCTGAAATACTTGTGTTTTAATATAAAATTATTAAACATATTATAAAAAATAACAATGATTGCCAACATTTGTGCATTTAAATTATGGTGTTTTGCTATAATAATGACAAATATAAAAAAAATCCATTCTGCAGGCAACCACCAGGTAAGAATTTATGCTATAAATCACATTTACAGACAATATAATTACATTTAACAACTACATCATATTAAAATTAAGATTATTTTATTTTCAAACAAAATAGTAATTGGACAATGGCCAACTTATATTTTTATTTTTAAATAAATGTGTTATTAAATGAGTTAAAAGTTCTCATTTTATAAGTTATATTTAATGCTTTTTAGATAAATCCTGTACGATTTTTCATTCAAACATCTCCTGAAAACTATGTACGTACAGTGAATAATTTTCAAACATTCAACAAAAATCCAATTACTATTACACCCGCAGACCAGAGAATTCTGTCAACACGCAGTGTCAACAGTATTAAAAAATACAAACTAAAATTAAAAATCCAGGAAAAATTAGAGAAAAAAGCCGAGGACATCAAATGTAGTTTTTGTCTAATTGCAAAATCAAACATATTGTACATGAAGAACTTAGTTGAAACATTAAAAAACGGAGAACCTTTCGTATTCAACGAGAGTGCTGTTAGACGTTTTAAACAGGAAGCTGAAATTATACTTTACCTATTGCTGTTGGGAAATTTAGAAACGGGCAAATGGCTTTGGAGTTTTTTGTTGAAAATCAACGCCATCAGACAGTACGAGGACAACAAAACTTTTATCCACGCAAACCCGTTCGAAGACGACCAACTTCAAACCGGTGTTTCGGATTTCATCGGACATTGCATTGCTGAAAAATACCTTCCTCCGAATGCAATAGAATGTGATTTGGTTTCGAAAAAGAGGATCATATATAATAATATGTTCAGCGATCTGTGCAATTCCGGATGTTTTTTAGGCATCATACTCGACCGCGATTACGATACCATGATAGAATTTTTATACCTTAAACCATTTTGGGACGACGAACGACAATTGTTGTTCAGACCAATAACCCAAGTCGATGTAGACTGGAGCAAGGCGAAACACCGACATGATGTCGAGGTGGTTATTACCAGAGAGTTCGTGCAAAATCGCTTGTGGATTTACCATCCGTACGGTCGCCTCGACCACCAACACTTGTTGATCAACATTATCGATGCTAGAATTTATTGTCACCTTTCGGTCATACTGTATGTTTATGAAAAACAATTATTATCCATACTCGACAAACAGACACTGACAGACATCAAACAACTTGTATATAACGTTATATATGCCGCATTGACGTTGACGACGTTTAAAGATGAATTTCTTGTGCTTCTTATATCAGAATTTAAGTTTGCAAAAATAAGCGACATCGGTGACATAAAAGACATGTTGGCAAGAGTGAGGACAAAGGCTAACGGGATCCTAAACGATTTAAACGGATCCAACACAAGCAAAATCGATCCGCTCGGTTTCGAAGTTGACGAACACCAACTGTCTACCAACGATTTTATTATAGGAATCATAAAGGATTTCGAAGACTATTTAACCGAATTTAATGACTTCTTACCGTTCCAATATAAATCGTTTTTGCATTTTATGGATGTAGTTAAAATGTCCGCTGCTAAATACATTTGAATTTTAAATTAACACGAAAACAATAGTACCTAAATCAAGTTATAATTCCATTTTTTAGTGTTATGAGTTGTCGAATAATTTTGGAAAATTATTTGCTTATGGTGTTTACACAATTTAACATATTTAAAATTATTGACTACCGTATAATGCTATTGAAAACATAATAGGTTTGTATTAATTATAACATACCTACACGAAATGTTTTATTTTATTATAGTTGTAGAATATTAGTTAAAATAATAAAAACATTTATTATTGCCCAATTTTTATATATCAAGCTGTAATATCGAAAACGATTGTTTTTTTTTTCAGTATATAAAGTAATTGTAGTATAGCAAATAACAAAACCAAGCACTGTCCAAACCAGCACAGAAATTACCAAAGTGGTGTCCGCAGCATCCACAGATTCACCTCGAAGCGTTTTCTTCGAATATGATTTTATTACTACCAGGTTTTCTATATAAATAATTTTCTGAAACATGCTTGTTGAATTTCACTGCAACTGTAACAAAAAAATAATTATACTCCTGAAGTTATTGCTAAATTGAAAATGTTATTTAAAGGTATTGTACCGTGATAAGCGGGTTATTTTTAAAATTTTATTTGGTATGTTAGAATGATAAAAAGTACAGTCGTTTTTTAAATAATTATGAATTTGACAACTTTCTCAGATTTCATAAATATTGAGTCACTACTAAGGCACTTTGATTTTAATTAATTTCACCTTTTTTACTGTCACCATGTGCACTTATTACTTTTCCATTAAAATCAGTGTCAAAGCGTCATAGGGGACATTGAGACAGTGTTTACCCACTTAGAATTTGGACGAATCATATTTGTATTATTATATTTTAATTACAAATTTTAATGAAAACAATTTTTTTTTCCAAAGACTTTTTTATTTTTAGTTGTGTAGTTATTCCAGTCAATAAATCCAGTAAAAAAATCATTCCAGTATAAGAATAGATATGAGACATTGTCGAATTTGTCAAATTTTGCCAGGCGTAGTGTGAAGAAGGAATTTAAAAATATATATGTATAACAAAAATATATAAAATTTGTTACCTTCTCACTCTGATGTTACTCTAAGCTCCCTTAAACTCAACCTTTCTGAAAATCTTAATTGATCTATAAATAAAGTTTTAAATATATTAATACCAATTGTACTGTTGATTGAAAATGTGTGTATTCATATGTATAAAGATCAAATGCAATACCTATAAAAATATATATTTATATATGATTACAGAGCTCTATAGAATATGGTTCTATTAAAATGCTAAATTTATAACACAATGTTCATAAATCAAGTTATAGTGTAACAAACAAAAATATATGTTAAGTATCGAAAAAAAAACCATTTTAATTTGTATGAACAAGTGTTGACGAATCGAATTTAAAAAAAAATGTAATTAATTTAAATATGCTATTTAAACACGATGAAAACCTAAAGCTACCGTATGTCGTCTTACGAGCATAGTGTTATATACCTACAACATATCATACGAAATACTTGTATTTTATTATAGTATTATTTAAAATATTATAAAAAATAACAATGACTGCCAACATTTGTGCATTTGTGGTATGGTGTTTTGCTATAACGGCAAATATAAAAATAATCGAAGCAGCAGGTAACCACCGGTAAGCCTTATGTTGAACTAAATTTTTTTCTGTGAAATAATCTCGATCATATATTTTGCTGTAGATAGCAGTTGTACATTGTACAAATATAATTCCTAACGTTAAAATGTTTTATAACAATAAAAAGCTCAAACGATACAGTAAAGCATTTTGTAAAAATACACAAACAACTTTGGATGTTCATACGCTTCATACATTAAAAAAAAAATTAGTCCAATTAGTTCCAAATTTGTATAGTATATTCTTAGGACATAGCACTACCGATTAACCTTGACAACAAATATCGCAACCCTTTCCCTTAAAATGTATGACAACTTTTTCTTTAATTCGCTTAAGGTCAGAGAATTGGACGAAGGTAAATCTGGAATGGCCAATGACTATAGCATGTACAATTTTCTCAAAAATCTACATTAAAACTTTTATTAAGAGAAAACCAAAATGCAGGGGAAAATTACACTGACCAAAGTGAGTTTCTAGAATGTTATGTGTGAGTGAATCAACAATCAACAGGTATTCGAAAAATATATTTTTCGTAATTTAATTATTTGAGAAAAATGGTTAACTACGGCAATAAATTGCTATAGACAGACTAAAATAACAACCCTAAACGTATCTACCCTATTACTAAAAATACAATTTTAAGCACATTATCGACAACGATTTTTAATATATATTATACTGGTACGCATCGATGAGTTTATTTGAAAGTGATTTTATCACTTTCAATCTAAAAAAAGCCTATAGACATATTTCCTCTCCCGTCCCCACTGTATTGGCTTTATTTTAATTTATATATAATTTTTCAGATTAATCCTACAAGATTTTACAGTCAAGTATTTCCTGAAAAATATTTATGTATTATGAATAATGTGAAAACATTCAACAAAAACCCCATTGATATTAAAACAGCAGACCACAGAATTCTGTCAACGCCCGGTGTCGTCACCAATATAACAATTTACCAATTAACATTAAAAAGCCAGGCTAAATTGGAGAAAAGAGCTCAGGACATCAAACGCAGTTATTGTGTAATTGTAAACTCGAACATATTGCACTTGAGGAGCATAGTCAAAAAGTTGAAAAGCGGAGAACCTTTCGTCAACTACGAGGACAATGTCAAACGTCTTAAACAGGAAGCCGAAATTATAATTCATCTGTTACTGTTTGGAAATGTACAAACGGGCAAATGGCTTTGGAGTTAGGATTTCGGATTTCGTTTCGAAAAAGTGGAGTACTTACAAAAATATGTTCAGCTATCTATGCGAACATAGGGGGTTTTCGGGCGTTCTACCCGACGCCGATTACAGTACTACATTGCAAGTTTTCTACCTACAACCGTTTTGGGAAGACCAACGACAGTTGTTGTTCAGACCAATAACCCAAGTCGGCGTCGATTGGAGTAGGGCGAAACACCGACATGATGTCGAGGTGGTTATTACCAGAAAGTTCGTGCAAAACCGCTCGTGGATTTACCATCCGTACGGTCGCCTCGACCACCAACACTTGTTGATCAGCATTATCGATGCTAGAATTTATTGTCACCTTTCGGTCATACTGTATGTTTATGAAAAACAATTATTATCCATACTCGACAAACAGACACTGATGGACATAAAAATACTTGTGTACAACGTTATCTTTGCCGCGCTGACGTTGACGGCGTTCAAAGATGATTTTCTCGTGGTTATCATATCAGAATTCGAGGTTTCCAGCACAATTAACACCGTCGACATAAAAGACATTTTGGCAAGAGTGAGGACAAGGGCCAACGAGATCCTAAACGATTTGAACGGTGCCAACACGAGCGGAATCGACCGGCTCACTTTCAACGTTAACGTACGCCAACTGTCTACTAACGATTTGCTGTTGACAATCGTCAACGAATTCGATGACTATTTAACCGAATTTAAAGAATTCATGCCGATAGTGTATAAAGTGTTTTTGCATTTTATGGACGTAGTCAAAATGTCCGCCGCTCATTACATTCAAATTTTAAACTAATACCACCACGGCGTTTGTACATAAATCAAGTTTTAATGAAATAAAAGAAAAAATCAGCGAATATAATTGCAATTTTTAGTCGCACGTGTTGTCGAATAAATCTGGAAAATTTAATTATTTACTTAAGCTGTTCAAACTATTGAACATAACCGTGTAATGTTCATCATTAACATGGAATACTTTATTTCATTATAGTTATAGTATGTTAATTAAAATTAAAAAAAAAATATATTAACACAATGTTTATATAATATCAAGTTGTAATTAATGTAATGTAATAAGAGAAAAATATTGTTTTTTGAAGTGTTGCTAAATAAAATAAAAAATAAAATTTCTTTCACATGATAAAAATCTTGAGGGAATTGAAATTGGTAAGTTTTTTTGACGCTTTAGACCAAAAGTTCTGACAAAATTTCGACTACTTAGCAAGGTCTGGTTTCAGTTTGCAAAGATAAACAGCTTCTTTAGCTATAAGGTTTATCTTATGTAAGGTTATGTGGGTTTTTTTTTAGTTTTCCTTTTTTTATGTAATAAAATGATAAATATTGCCATTTTTCAAATTTAATTACAAGAAACTGAATTTTTTAAAACAACCCTTTTCTCCTGCTCAATAATCGTGTAAATGAATAGGTTGTTTGATATTGTAAAAAAAAATAAAACTATCGTCGCGTCGGTTAACGAGGGAATATATTATGTTCTGCCCCTTAGAATTACACGGTATTGGCAGCACAACATACACCAACGCCATGACAATATTTTCCGTTATCAAAATTTTGCCGCCGGCTGCTGGTATACGTCTGGCCGGCTAACTACGTGGCCGTCAAACGAGTAATATTGGTCTGGTAATTAGTATTATACCATTACACAAAACCCGTTTAAATTATAACAATAATATATTCATATAGAGGTTTATATATAACTAGTAAAAAAAAAAAAAACCGTAAACATTGTAATTGAATTGGTGTGTGTGTGTGTGTGTGTATTGTAGTAAAGTGACACGACTCGATTGCCACGTTTAAAAAAAAAAAAAATCAAAATGTATTCACATATTATTTTCACTTAACCTGTGTTTTGAATTCGTGGCTTTTCACGACCATTATCGATAATGACTTGGCTGGTATGTGGACACGGGCGTTCAATAATTATCGTCGATGATTGTATTTATTTGATTATTCACCTTAAACGTTTCGCGTTGCTCGCATAATATTTTCCAAACTGTAATAACGCCGTTTATATTATTTTGTAATAAATTGTTTATTTTTCCGTTTCGGACCGCAGTCCGGTCAACAGACGGGAAGTCTGTTATCAAACTGTGATAACAAAAAAAAAAAAACCAAAACGTTATCATTTGCATTACGAGCATTACAACGATTATTTACCGCTGTGAGCTGTCGCTTACTTATTAGTTGAAAAAAAATTAATAAAACTCATCTATAATATTATAATCAACGTTCAACAAACACCGTAGACAATTAATCAGCTAATCTGCGTGTGAAATACAGAATTACCAATGTTCGGCGTACATCGTCAAGTGCCGTAAGATAATCACATAATATTTTGTATCGTTATTTTTTTTTTCCTTACCCAATTATGCATTAATATATTATTCAATTCCGGTCGATTTATTATAGTGTTGACATCATGCTGTCGTTTCGTTTCAGTTGAATACCGCTGATTGCCCGAACGCCAATCTGTGAGTGCTAATGTCATTGTGACTACGAATTTACCGTTACGTTAATTTTTCTAATTTTTAGTCGTACCACAACGAAACGTCCGACCGGACCAGTCATGATATCGGCCGGCGGAGATGACGGAGAAGACGACGATGTCGCAAGTAAAGAACAAAATGAGTATTTGTTCGGTACGGATTCCAGTACCGACGAAATCAAACGTTTTAAAGTAAGAAAATTAACCGTCGGCTATTTTAAAAACTATTGCGCTTCTTATCGGAGATTAGAAATTTCTTCAACTCCTATAACTGAAAAGTTATAGTAACTTAAACACTGTAGGTTTTATATTTCATTGAATAACAAACAAATAACGGTAATTATCATAATATGTTAACGATAACATTGATAAGCAAAATATTGTTATTATTCACGTAAGCCCCTTATAATAAAAAATCACAAAAGCGAGTGGTATTTGCCAGATGTAGTGAGCTCGTTATTCATCGTTTATTTGGCGTCAGTTACGAAAGTTGCTAACATCTTAGTAACTAACTACAGGTTTTAAACCAGTCTGTGGATTATTTAATTGGTACGAATAAGCACAATGAAAACTGTAACATGTAAAATTAATTTACACTAATAAATAATTTGCTTGAGAAAAAAAAATTCTTATCGGTAGCGAATAAAATGTTCTTAAATAAAAACAAGTAACTAACTTAAATTTTATCATCGTTTGCTTTTAAAATGATCTACGCAAACCGCTGAAGAGGACGTCACACATCCGTTATTTTCTTCAAAAAACCCGCCTTGGGCAAATTAATTTTATAAAGGCTGTAATGAAACTAAGAAACCAAATTTTCACATAATACAGAAAACATCATTGTCTAAGCTCTACCATGGCCGTTTTTTTAAATATTTCAACCAGTTATTGAATAATTAATTAATTAAAAAAGGACTTTTTTGACTTTTTTATAAATGTTATAGCGTTGGTTGTATTAGGTATATCGAAAAAATACGGGTACTGGAGCATAGATAATTTTGTCATTTATTATGTGTATGAAAATCTTTCCTGAACTATATATGAAGCCTGAGAACAAATAATCCGCGTAAAACTCAACTTAACATAAATTTTTTTTTTAATCGCTGTCAAGGATGCTGTGATACTTTGAAAAATAATTTAACTACCAAAAAAGAGTCCTAACTACTGAACTAATAATTACACATCACCTTTAAGTTAAGATTTTGTAAAAATTTTTCTATACTTTTACTTACTTATTACTCATTTTGAATTGAGTTAGAATTTAGTTATAATAGCAAAAAAAGTTATTATTTTTTTTTTCGATCAAAAAAAAAAACTAAGTTGAGACAATGGCCAAAGCTTTTACATAAACACAAAAAAAACCTGGATTTATAGCAGAACAATAAAGAAACATTACACAATATAACTTTTTTGATACAAACAACAATTAGAAAAATCACAATAAAAATATTTTTTGATTGGGTTAATTCAGTCAATATTTTTTTTTACTTAATGCCATAAAAAATAATTAAATAAATTAAATTTTTTATTTTTTAGGAACTTGGTAAGCGTTTGGAGAAATATCGCATTAGGCATCAGCAATCGGCCAGCCGATCGGGTACTCCACTGCCTCGATGCACGTCTTCTTTGTCGACCACAAGCATGGATTCTCTTTATCCGTTAGATGCTGATGTAAGCTCCAGCCGATCGGTTATACTGCGGCAGTGTTTAGAAGACGATAGGTTTGTATTATTAAAATGAATCGTAGATTAGAAAATCTATAACGCTATAAAGGCGGATTCACTTTATTGGATTATTTTTTGAAATAGTTTCTCAGTTTAAACTTCAAATAATATTTTGTTAAAAGACATTTATTTATTTAAATAGTAAACACATTATTATTATTATTTTCTGTTAATAATCGAGATACTGTTTAAATCAACTTGTTTTTAGTTGAATTTGTTTAAATAGAATTACAATAAGTTGTATTTGTTAGCTGAGTATTTAATTAAATTTTTTTTTTTTTAATTTGTATTTCAATAAAAAATGTATATTTATTTAAATAATGCCCAGGTATATTAAGATAATAAGATATTATAAGTTAAGTTTTTCACAATGTAAGTAACAATTCATTTTTCTTAACGTTTTCTTAAAAGTACTAATTGAACTGTTAAGAACTAGAAAAATAGTGTTAAAAGACCTATATTTTCTTTTCACCATATTTAGTTCTAAAAACATTCTTTTCTATTAAAAATTGATGAAATTCTTGCTTTTTAGTAAAATATTAAATACTTACATATAATAAATCACTAATTCTAGGAATTCGCAAATTTTAGTTTAAAGAAAAATAATATACCTTATTTTGTTAGCCAAAAAACAATAATTAATATTAAAAAAGTATTTGCTTTTAATAACCATTTTTATACATGTTAAAAACAAACATATTTTGTTACCTTAATTTTTAGTTAGCTATACATAATATAATGTATATAAAAAACTATTATTTAAATTTAAAAAAAAAGTACAAATCTCGTAAGCCAATTGAATATTAGCTTGTAATTTTTTTTTTTTTTTTAATAAAAAGTCCATGTAATTTTAACGAGTGTAAAAAATATCACAAATGTTATCGTCAAATTAGATGCAATTTATCGAAAGATACTTGTATACTTATCTTAGTAAATGAATTTATATAACTTTACATAGTTTTATAGCCAGATTCAAGTTCCTTTTATTTTCGGTTCATTATTTTTTTAATTTTATAGTTTTTGATAATTGAACAAAAAACAACATACATTATTATGTACCTATTGATAGTTTTAAAATTAAATATATAGTTTTACTTTTGGCAGTCTTTAGTGATGATAATACAATTTTCTTACCTGATTTTAAACACCACTAATACAACAGCTTGAATTTAATTTATATACAGTGATTAATTATTCTGTTACGTCTAGGATAATGTTAGACGAAAGTGGAGTGACGAGATACATTGGTCAACTAGAAGAACCGTTGCAATTGTCTTTGGACGCCTACGATGGCCAACAATCTCGGAGTCAATTACGCAGCCGTTTGAACTCTACCGCTTCTATTCAGAATTATGTAATGTATTTTTTACTATTAATATTTTATTGTCAGTAGTGATTTTGTAATATATATACATTATATATATATATATGTATATATAATAGTTTAAAATCATTTCTAATAGAATTTACATTTTCAGGATGAAATCATTGATAAACGTCTCCAAGAAAAAACCAACGAAGAGTTGAAAAAACAAATTCAAGAATTGCGCGTCAAATTACAAGAATACGAAGTAAATTAGTTAAAATGAAAATATCAAAAATAATAAACTAATACAACCCATGTCTGTTCTAACACATAAAGGTCAACATGGAAAAAAAAGATAAGTTACTGGTATTGAAAAAGACAGCCGTGGACAATTCGATAATGATGGAAAAAAACAAAACTCATTTGCAATCCATCAAAGCGTTGGAACAACGTCGCGCCGACGATTACACGGAATATTGTAATAAGTAAGTTTGCCAAAAAAAAAAAAACACCTTTATAACACTTTGATTTTAATCTAAATTAGTTAATATATATATATTTTTTTTTAGCTTGGATGAAATCCAAAAGACTTGTAAATATTTGGAATCGAAAAACTTACATCTGCAAAAGGAAAATTCCGTTTTGCACGCCGAGAAAATGAATTTGAGGGAAGATTACGATAAGCTTTCAATTGCTCACGACGAACTCGTTGCTTCTGTGCGTAATCAAGCCGCCAAAGAATCGTCGGAAGCCGATAAGATTGAAAAACTCATGTTCCAATACAATCAATTGAAACAGGAGAATACGCAGTGCTCAAAAGCGATGAAGGTGTTACAACACGACAACGAAGTATTGCAAGGCGAATTGGAAAAAGCTAACGCTAACAATGAATTGATAGCGGCTAAAGTAAATGATTTAACGGCCATTGCTTGTGAAGCGGAAAGCTTCAAAGTGGAAAACTGCGGTTTGAAAGAAGAGATAGAGAAACTACGTCAGGAAGAAACGAGTTTACGAGACAATTTGGAGAAATTATCAGATACAAAATTGGAACAAACCATCGACGGTGAAGGACAAGAAAAACTTATCGAAGACAATCGTATCTTACATCAGAAAATTAATGGTAAAATATTGTTGCGTTAACAACATTTTTAATAAGCCTATAAAGTTAATAAGTTTTTTTTTTATGCCCAACTGTCATCGTTATTTTCATTTAACTTTTTTGTTTAAATAACAACAAAAAAAATGGGGTTTATTAAAAAAAAATACATATTTAGTATTATTTTTAACGTTTTTCCTATTAATAAAAATACTCATTATAATGTTATTTAAAGTAAAAGTATTTACCAAAAAAGATTTTATTTAATATTTCTTAAATTACATTTTTTATTAATACTTTTTTAAAGTCTATTCTTGTTTTTTCTTAACATTTATTTGTATTTAAAATGTTTTAATTTACACATACTTTGCCCAAAAATAAGTAGTTTTTTCAAACATTTATCTACCATCAGTCTAATTTTCAGTTCTGAAGTCCTAAAGTTACATCTAAAATATAAATCCTCAAACAAAAAAAATCAACTTCCCATCGAATGAAAATTACTGTACAATTTTTAAATTTAACTTATAATTATTATTTTTTTTTTTTCAGAATTTCAGACAGAGACTGAAAGATTACTCGGTGAAAATGATTCGTTAAACAAACAATTGCAAAGTCAACTCGGTCTTGTTCAGGAAATGGAGAATCGTTGGACTCAACTGAAGGAGGCGTACTTGAAGGACAAAGATCGAGCTACGCTTATGGAGAACGTCATTGAAGAGTTACAAAACAGTAACAGCCAGTTGAATTCTGCAAATATGGAATTAACCAATGAGTTGGAAATGACCAAAGCCAACTTAACCGATACCAAGGACACTCGTGTACAAAGTGTTTCCGAAGAAAACAATCGCCTACGAACCCATTTGTCGTACTTGGAGGTGACCATAGAAGACTTGCAAACTAAAAACGATGAGTTGAAAAGCACAAATATCGCTTTGAACGAACAAATTGAAAATTTAGTTACATTGAAAATGGAAAACAGTCAACTAGAAGAAAGAATCGACGAGTTGATCAGTGTGGTGAATAAATACGAAGCTCAAATTAATCAAATGAACGACGTTATCGGTCAGCTAAAATCTTCCCAAACGGATGCATCCGCCTTAGATTCGCTGAAAAAACAAAACGATGAAAAAATTACAGAATTAAAATCGTATGTTGGCCAACTTACAAACCAGTTGGAAGTTGTCATGCGAGAGAAAAATTTGTACGCAAACGAATGTTCTGCGTTAACGAGTCGTCTCGAAGAGAATAATGCGGCGTTCACTATGACTGTCGAAGGTCTCCAAAAGCAGCTCGATAGTGTTTCAAAAGAAAACAAATTTTTGATCAACGAACGTCCGTCTTTGGTGACTCGCATTGGCGAAAACGAAACAAGTATTTCAAATTTAAACAGCGTTATCGATGAGCTGAAAAATCGTGTAACGGCACTGACAAAAGAAAACAACGCGTATGTAGCCGAAGAACGACCGACCCTAATCAACGGTCTCGGGGAAAAAGAACAACAACTTACCAACTTGAATGCGACTGTGGAACGACTCAAGGATCGTTTGAAAACTATTATGAAAGAAAACGACAAGTTTGTGACGAAAGAACGGCCGGCCTTGGAGGCTCGAATCAACGAAAACGATATTCGTCTGTCGCAGTCCAACGAACTGCTAAAACATTTTCAAGAGAAAGCCGCTCAATTGGATATCGATTTGAATGCGCTGAGGAACGAAAACTCTGAACTGGCTGAGAAGTTAAAACGTTTACCGAACGATGAAAACTTGGAACAACAGTATAAATTGTTAACGGACCGGTTTCAAAAGCAAAAGCACTTGTTGGTGGCCAAAGCCAAAGCGCTGAAAGAGTGTGAAGCCACTTGTCGAGGACTGGAACAACAAGTTCAAACGCTGAAGGAAGAACTTGAGAATCGCAATACAACGGTACCGCAACAAAACATCAACTCTGAGCGCATTGGCCCGGTTCTTAGTCAGTGTGACCAAGACCTTCAGGAATGTCATAAATTGATTAACACACTTGTAAACGATTCGAAATCATTCCGTGATCAACAAAGTCATCAGATGTGTGCTCTAAAAAATGTATTTCAAAATCTGTCATTGTTGTTTGAACAGCCCTACGATGTTGCCGATTTACGTCAAGTCATCGGTCAAATATTTGCCCAGAACGCAATTAACGACGATGAACTAGAAAACTATTTACAGACAACATTTACCAACGCTGTAAACATCCTGGAAACGAGCAACGACAATAGAAACGCAAGCGCTAGTCTTCCTGAAGTAAAACTAATAGCGCAGACCGAAGTGGACAAATTGATATTCGAAGCTGTGGAAAACGTTAAATCAACTATGCAAAAGAAATCTATAGAATTGAAACAAGAACAACTACAACGTCTGAACGATCAAAATGTAAAACTCAAAGCAGAAAATGAAATTTTAAAACAACAACAATCCGAAGCTGAATGCAATAAGAAACGAGAAACGACGCAATCGCAACTGTGGAAACAGAAGTTGTACAACAATTGTATTAACACTAACGACTCTTGTACACAAACTCTGACAAATCAAGAAGTGAAAGGTGAACCGAGTGTCTTAAGAGCTGAATATAAAGAAGTAAATGCCAAACACAACAGTAGCGTAGTAACCGAAGGTGGGGAAAGCGAATTGAAATCTCTACAGCGTCGATACAACAGCTTAAAAGCCAAATACAAACAACTAAGAATCCAACAAGCACCAGTAAGCGATCGTGAAAACAATATTGACGAAACCTTTAACCTAGAAAGGAAAATCACAACCTTAGTCGACGATCTAAAACGAGAGCGTGAAAGATACGATCGGTTAAAACAACGGTTCGTACGCGAAAGTGAAACGCACGCTGAAGACATGTCGCACTGTCAAAACGAATTGGAAAATCTAATGTATGAAAAACTGGAACTTAGTCGACGTTTGGCGGCAGTTGAGGAAAAGTATCAAATACTTCAAAACGATTACGACCAATTGAAAAGCTGTAATTTAGATAATTTTAGTAATTTACCGTCGGAAGTGAACAATAAACCATCGTCTATTGACTGTGACAACGATGATGAACCCGCTGTACAAGGCGACACACAGCAGCTGTTCCACGACGAGCCGCCAACCATCTCAAATGCCGCCCCGCTATCGTTGCCCGTGCCGGTTACCAATACCTTAGAGTCCAATGTAAACGCAAGCGAAGAAAACCAAGACCTTCAGCAGCGGTCCATAGCCGAAAGAGATCGTTTAATAGAATTCCTTACGGAGAAAATCCAGAAATTGGAATGGGATTATTGCAATAGAAACGCCAACAACGTTGAAAATTCCATTGTACAAGTACGAGACCAACTCGACAGGGCTTTGGCTGCCGTTCATGAGAGAGACGTACGATGTGACGAACTCACGTTGGAGCTCACCAGAGTGAGTATTTAACCTAACCTAACCGGTCCCAAATTAAATTTAGAGAACATTTTTTTTTTTTAATTTCTTTGATGTTTTTATTGTATATTACACAATTGTATGTTTTTCTATTAAGTTAAATCGTTATCACATGTGTGAATATTATCACAAATATAATATTAAAAAAAAAAATTATAATAAAACAAAGTTGAGCACATTGTAATGAGCCTGGAGACTAAAAGGGTTAATTATTTTGGATCTTAGTATGTGAGTGAATTGATAACGGCTAATTTATTACTCGATACTTGTTTTTGTTAAGCTATTGGAAGAACGCGATACGCTGCAGTTGAGACTGTCGAACGCTATTAGACAAATTCAACAAGTTTGCGAAGACCAAAAAAACTGTCCTCAGCAACAACCGCAAAACATAATGGATGACAAGTATTTATCATTTTTTTTTTTTAAATTGTACACAATGAGAAAAGCTGTCTTTTTGACAACAATTATACAAAAGAATACAAAATAAACTTGTACTTTAAAAATTATTTTTTATATATCGATAATGTATATTTAAAGGATCGAAGAGTTACGTGGACTGCAGTATAAAAAAGATTATGGCTTGTACACTGATCAAGAACGTAGACATGTATCTCAAATGCAGTTGCACAGTCGAGATTCAAATCCAGCAGCCGTACCCAAGGATACGTCGTCGCCACAATCGCTTCCCTCGACGGGTAACAAAAAAAATACCCAACTTGATCTTTATAAGAGGCAAAAAAAACGCAGCTGGTGTTTTACATAATACTTGGCTTAAAATTAATAGCTTATAGACAATATTTGATTAAGAAAATGTCATTAAAATAGTATTATTACAGGATTATCATACGCTGTTTTCTTTGTCATACTATTGAACAATTTTCCAAAAAAAAACCCAGCTTTGTTTTGTTTTAGCCCAGCTATTTTTTGTATATGCCCAAAATTATTTTGGATTTCATTGAGCTTATGAATACTCAAAAAAAAAAAAAATAACAACATCATTACACAGAAAATAATAGCTAATTGTTTTTCAGCCGAACACAACTCGAGCGGTTCCAGTTCGCAGTCGTGGTTCAAAGACATATTATGGTAAATCAAACAAACGGTTGCCGTCTTACCTATATTTTATTTTTTTATTTTCCACCAAAATCACTATGGGTGGAATTTTGTTATTTTGTTTTTAAATTCACGGAATTCTAAGTTTTTAATAGAGTTTGGGTAAGTTTTGTGTTTTAATTTTATCTTTAAATTTTGGGAACACAATTAAAATTATTTTGTTGCTATAAATAATTAATTATTAGCTAATGTTAATAGGCATAAACGTTTTCGAAAAATAATATTTTCCTTTTATATCCATATATATATATAGTTAAATGTGAAAAAATTATTTTAATTTTTTATTTGTAATGCAATATTATTATTAACTAATTATTATACAATTTATATATATTTTTTTTTCAAGTGAAATGTTAATAACTTGTTTATGTGCAAGTTTTTGTTGTGATTTTTTTTTTAATTTTCGGCAAATAAGAAAACTGTAATACTTATTACAAAATAATTAGTCAGTAAATAATATTTAGTTAATTATTATTTTACTCGGGTGCTGATTATTTTTTTAATGTGTAAAAAACCATAAATATAATTAATTATACTTATTTAATAGAATATAATATTTTACCAAATGATTATCATTTTGTAAATATACAAATAGTTTTTTCGTTCGTTCGGATTTCAATTAAAATTTTAAGAGTTTTTTTTTTCTAAACCATTCGAATAAGTCACACGCTTACTGCCGACACCGTCTTGATCGTTGTTTATTTTTTTCATAACAGTTTAACAAACACCTAATAATTATTGTACAATATATTTAAGAAAAAAAAACACCAATTTTTATCATTTAATAATATTTATCAACTATGCAAAAATATTGTAAGTCTTATCAAGTAAAACAAAGTTCATTATTTTTTGTTTTTTTTTTTTTTGTATTTAACTTATTGATTTTACAACGTTGGGATTTATTTTCTAATTTTTAACTGTATTTAAATTTTTTTCTTTTTTTTTCTTAAATTTTATATTTAATTATAGTTTAAGTGTACTACAACCCATAAAAATTCTTTCACGGTCTTATGTTTTTATGTGATTGGAAACATAATATGAGATCTTACAAATAGTACCGTAGGACTTAGGATTGGAATCTCTGAACACAGCTGTTAGTGTTAACCATAACGTAAAATAACGACTCTCTATTATAACTATGTTAAAAATACTCGAATTAGTCACAAATTTTTATGGAATATTTTTTATTTAAAGCGCTATTTATTACTTTTAGTAGTAGTCTTAGGACTTAGGGGTGGGAATTAGACTGTAGTTGGATCTCGAGTGACACTACAGTGTGTTATAATTACAATAAGCAATGCTTTATCGATGTTTGTATATTTCCTACCATTTACAGCTGATGCACATCAGAGCTTTCATTTGATGTCTAATTCTAAAATATTTTCAACTTATGATTTATGTTAACACTACGATGTTTTTTATAAAACAAGTTATATTGGACATTTGTACATAAAAGCATAAAAAACCCAAAAAAGGGTTCAATGTTGTTTAAATTTGGTACACTTATTTTTTGTTAATTTAATAGGCCATAATATACTAAATTTCTATACAAATCGGCACAATTCAAAGCAAGTGGGTACAGTATATAACAGAAGTTAGCAAAGTTGGGCCAAAACAGTTATTTAATCTGAATGTGATATCATTATTTGAACTGTACTGGTTTAAGCTAAGTACTGGATATATTATATATATTTTTTTGTTTAGTCGACGCGAATTGTGAAATTTTTTAAAGCTAAATTTTTTTAAACTATTTTGTAATAAATTGTTAAAAACTATGGAATGGAGTTGTCGTCAATTTTAAAACGCTCAAGTACTGCTAAAGTTTTTGTCTGATAAAAAAAAAAAAAGTAACCAATAAAGAAATCTCATTACTGTACTAATTATAATTTTGTCCTTTAAACTTATTTGGGAAATACCCAAGTCGGACTAGTTCAGATAAATTTGTTGCCAATGCTAAATCTGAGTTGCGTAGAGTTAAGTTCATATTTAAAATTTAATAAAAAGAAAAACCGTCAAACAGATAATTACTATGTATTTATTATATATTATTTTCATTGTTGTACACATATATTATTGTAATGCGATTTTGTAAACTTCTACATTTACTTGACTTCATTGGCAAATTTCTATTCTACTTACTATATACTGTGTTGTAGGCCAGACTTGACGGAGATAAAAAAAACCATTAAATTTAAGCTTCTAGATGGAGGTCTCATAGTTTCATTTTATTGTATTAACATTTAATAGACAATGTACATACAATTAACCTAAAATAATAGGCATAGGTATAGTAGGTACATGTTGTTCTGTATCGGATCACAAAACATGATGATTTGGATTGCAGTGTTTGTTATCCGTATGAAAATTTATATCAACTGTTGAAAAATATAAGTCCATTAAATCCAAATTCCATTTCCACGCCCCTCCCCCCCCCCCCCCCCGAAACCCCACTAGTACAAGGGGTAAGTTTTGAAATTTACATAAATCCATATTATGCGACATGAGAAATTGTACAAAACTATTATTAATGAGCTACCATTCCTACTAACTGCGTAAAGGGTATTCACAATTTTATGATATGCGGTTTTGTATTGCTATATATATGAAATAATTATTGTTTTAGCTATACTAATCGAAAATATTAATCACCTACCTATTTTGTTTTATGGTAATAAAAAAAAAATTGTACTGTTCAATTGTAAATTACATAATTATCTTTTCTGTTTGTCGACCTGATATTGTTTTCATTAAGATTAAGCTTTATTTAATAATACTCCGCTGCTGTCGGCCCAAACATACCAACATCTGTAACTTAAACCATTTGTCTTTGCAAGCTACAATAGTTGTTTCTTATTGCCATATGATAATATTATTGATGGTTAACATAGTAATATTGTATTGGTCGATAACCAAAGATAGGACGTACCTATGTCTTTAGCATGGCATACCTACCTACTCTTATTTTTGAGAGCATTACATAAGTATATTCCGTCAATTTAAATGTTATGATCGAAATATTGAGCAACAATCTGCTCTAATGATTTATTGAGATGGATTATTATGTATAAGCCTTTTTTTTTTTATATCAAGAGGTGATAAATTCGGGTACATTTACTTGAGAAGCAAGTCTTAAGATAATATGAGGCGCTCAAACGAAATTTACTTATTGGAGTATTAGTCTTAACTGATCCAAACCTAGTTCAATATAATCGTCTTCAATTACAATTTTGTAAAACAATTTAATTTTTTCACTGACATAAACGTATTCATCGTTTGAATATTTTGACTTAATTTTATCCTTGGATTTATTGTAATTCTTCAAGAAATAATAATAACTCATATTAGTTGATTTTATAGTACAAGCTTTATATATTTTGTGTTCCGAAAAAACAATTTTGTTTCTCGCAATACCAGAAATACTTTGAAATATATCTTCAGCTAAGTTTTTGTCGACCCCGTCATCTTTGTTCGAAAAAACCGGGTTCGGATAACGATTTATGTGATCATATACGTTTGCGATAATGTGCATTATCATATTACGATAATTATGATAACAACTAGATGTATTCGATGAGAGTTTATCCATGTCAACCAAACCATCCGTCATGTGCATCAGCATCAGACTTGACTCTTTAAACACCCAATAAAGTTCACTTACACAAGCTGCGAATTTGGTTGGCTCCTTTTCTTCTCGACATCTTTCGACAAAGCCCATCCACGTGTACTTGAGTGTTTTCAATCGTTGGACATAACGGCAATTTAAAAATAATATGAACTGTTCGACCGCTTTGTCGTAGTTGTCTCTGCATATCTGTTTTGCTATTAGAACATCAATACTAATTCTGCCAGCGACAGGGTCGTTGATTTTTATGGCCTTCATTTTTTTCCAGCCCGGTTTCGTGCGAATACTATTTAAAATAGCAACCTTATTTATATCGACAGCGTCATCATACTTATTCGTTTCGTTCAGCACCTTGTTTAAGTTATCCAATCCGAGTCTTTGGTAATCATCTTTGATTATATCGCTATAAAATGATTCAATTTTTTCACTTAAAAAAACATAATATTCATCGTTTGAAAATGTTAAACTACTCGTTAACCGTTTGTACCAACTCGACAAGTAGCCTAAACTCATATGGGTGCGATATATAATACAGTTTCTATTTACATTGTTTATCTGAATGTTCGCAAGTAACACAGAAATTGATTTAAATATTTCTTCGGTTAGTTTTTCATCAACAACATTATTATCGTTTATAAATTCCGGGTTTGGATATAAATTAATGAAATCATACACGAGTGCATTAAAGTGCATTGTTATTTTAAGACTATTGTGACAGTAATAAAGTTTGCTTAAATCGTTATAAATAAAAAGTTTCTCCATGTCAGCCAAACCGTCAATCATGTGGATCAACATCAGCCCAGACTCTTTGATCACGCAATAAAGTTTACTTACGCAAAATGAAAAATCCACAACATTTTCCGCTGCTTTTTTATTTTCACAACTATTCATAAAGCCCGACCAAACAGTCCAAACCGTTTTCAATCGTTGGGTATATCTGCAACTCAAAAATAAGCTGAAGTAATATAGGGTTTCGATGTAGTTGTCTTCGTTGATCTGATTTTTTGTTAGAACATTGGTATCAATTACATTATATTTATGGTGCTTAATCTTTAGATTTTTTATTTCACACCAGCCTGGATACACGCGAATTATATTCAAATGATCAATGTAATCCTTATTTATATGGTAGGGCGTTTCACATGCCATATAATTATGAAATAAGATAAAAGGTAAAACCACAAAACTATATTTGTAATACATTTTTAAAATTAAAAGTGATATGTTAATTTTTACAATACTAAGCAATTCAGTATGACAAAAAAAAACCCATAAAATCTACCGAAGAACGACCCAGAAACTATACCAGAAAAGCCTAGTTTAGACAAAAAAATATCGATTGTGCATATACACCATAAGGTAAAACATATGTCCATATAAAACAAATTGAAGATGTATAACATCCAACGGCTAAAAAACAATAATACACCTTTTATTGTATGTACGACACCCAAATGTTTTTTAAACTTATAAAATAAAAACATAACGTTTGTGACGAACATTGTAATATTCTATGCGGAGCTGAAGAAGTATTTTTTTTTTTAAAGTTTACATGTCAATAAAAAAAGCTGTACTGAAAAATATTTTACAATAACCTGGATCCTATAACAGAAAAAAAAATATCAATTATGCATACAACAGACTTGATCTCAATGTAGACATCATTACTTTATTGGGCTTGATTTTTGGGAGGTGACCTGGAACTTTATTTTTCTTTTGAATGCTCTCTTTCCCATCACTCACCGAACTCCTATGTGAGTAAAAATATTATTGAGGTTTTTTAAAATAAAAATTAATGTTCTTTCTTTTGCACTATTTTGGAAAATTGTTTCACAATTACATAAGTTCTAGATACAATAAAATTGTTTTTAAATTTATATCTTAATCTCGTTTCACATGTCAAATAAATATGAAGTATAAAAAAAGTTATATCACAAAACTACATTTTTAATACATTTTGACGATTAAACTAACCTAACCTAACCTAACCTAACCTAAACGAACCCAACACCAAAGAGAATGGAAACTGTTTGACTTATAATAGGTATCCCCTCCAAGAATTTATTTTCCAACGAGAATATTCTAGAATTTCACCGATGAATGAATATGACGTCATGATTGCACCGTGCACAGCTGTTTAAAAAATTAATTTCACTGTCTCATTGTCTCCATGGTAATTGGCGAATTCAGATTCAACTACTACAATTTCCAAGTTTCTACCACTTTCATAATTCAATATCTATTTTTCTTATTTGACTCTCAACCTGCAACCAATATAATATTATTAAAATAATTATTATTTGTACGAAGCGTTTATCGATCTTGCACAATGCCAAAAGGTAGACGTTCACCATCCCCGAAAAGGTAATTATTGTGATAAAAAAACTTGTACCTACTTTGTATTTGGCAATTTTTATCTTATAACCTAACTGATAGAGTAAGTCCTAATTGTGTTTTATGCAATGTTATATCGTTCATTTGTCGACAATGTTAAATTTAATTGTCATCATCAGCTTAATGGCCTTAAATGATGATGGTTTCTTGACGAAATTTAGTTATGAATAAAAAAGATAGAAAAAAGAATAATTTTTTTAATCGCTAATGAATTAAAGGTATGCCAGAATTACACATTAAATATTACATATGTTTTTTTACTCGAGTTGTTCTCTCTGGTAAAAATAAAATCTACTTCTTCCGGAAAGAATTACATGGACAAAAAAAATTCATTTTAACATCTTTTTTTAATCATAAGTTTAGAAAAACACTTTTTTTTTAGTTGGTGAGTCGAATGTTATTAATGCCTGGATCCTTAATAGTGTGGTTGCATTAATTACATCGTTTCTGTACCTGTTTAAATTCCAAAACATTACAATTTTACAAATTAAGTACTTAAAGCATCTCTTTATTATAATGTTGTCGATCTTATCTAATTAATAATTTGTTCACAAGATTTTTATAAATACCTTATAGTTCCATATAACTCTACGTTTTTTATATAATCAATAAAGAAATCAATTTTTTACTCGCATAAATGACATTTTGCAATATGTATGCCAATTTTAGCAATGTATGTTTCTTTTCAATAGAATTGTGATTTGGTACTCATCACCTAGAATGTTTTTGTGTACTCATCCCATCAAATACCCTGTTTAAATATCCAAAATGCTATTACTGCTACTACCCTATGCCTCAAAAAAAGTTAAAAATAGTCATGGTATTATTGAATTAGATTGCATAAAATGTTGGCAAGGTTATTTGGGGTTCTTTAACAAGTTTTATAATTACCTAATATTGTGCAATACTGGGACGTCATTTGAAATACTTAGTATGATAACAAAAGTAGAAAATGTTGTGTACTATACAAATTCAAGTATAATATTTTTTTATCACTTCCTAATTACCTTTGATATGACTGTGGTGTACCTTGTGCAATAAAGAGCAAATTTGCTGGACAAATTGTTCAATAGGCAACATATATATTTTTGGAGAAAATTATTTATTTCAATAAATAGTTGTATCAACTTTTTGAGACTGCTCTAGTTTAGTTTTTTCGCTGAACCTGAGCGCAACTTTCTAAGGGTTTTAGTTCACACATAATTTTTCATTATACTTTTTTTCAATACAATTTGCTTCAAATTTATACAGGTCAAATTATAATTATTTTTTTATCCACCAAAATTAGAGTTGGTATATTTCCTTGGACGTATACTAAGATGATAGAAAACATTTTTTGATAAAATCCATAGGCATTCAGTTCCTTCTAGAACTGTTTCAAGTAGCCCAGCGCCACAACAGAACAAAATTCAAGTCCGTGCACCGGCTGAACCAAAACAACTTGGGTTATTCGGTGAAATGGCAGCAATTTCCGGTGGCGTAGCTGTTGGTTCTGCCATTGTAAGTAACTGTAGTTGAATTTCAAATGTGTGGTAAATAAAATACTAACATGTTCAATATTTTAGGGGCACACTGTGGGACATGCGGTATCTGGTTTAATCAGTGGTGGCGGTTCTAACAACCAGGCACAACAAATCCAACCAGTTCTAGCTATGTCCATCGACCAGAGCAACCAGCAAGGTGGACCGTGTGCTTTTGAAATCAAACAGTTTTTACAGTGTGCTCAAAACAATGATGATATTTCGCTGTGTTCTGGATTTAATGAGGCTATTCGTCAATGCAAGGAAGCTAATGGAAGGACACAAATATAATTTTTCAAGTGATTTCGAAATTTTGTTTTGGTTTCAGGTACATAACCTTAATATTAACACCATAAAATTAAAGAAGATAAGATATTTAAATATATATATTTATTTCTTGTGTCCGTGTGTAAGTATTTGAACTCCTAAACGACTGGACAGATTTTTGTGAAATTTCGTGTGCGCGATTAAATTGATTAAAGAGAGGTTTAGATTCACAATTTGATTTGATAGAACATGGTTTTAATTTTTAATTAAGTACCCGACGGTTGACGCCCGTTATGTTCTCTTCTGGAATGGATAATATGCACTTATTAAACAGACCAGCGCATTAGGTTTAAAAAATATTACCGTTGGTTCAGAAAACTAATAACAAAAAACCATTTTTGTCATAAAGAAATATCCGAAAACATGATTGTTAATTCAGACACTCATCTAGGATGACAATACAATATCCTGTAATAATATTGGGACTCGGACATCCAGATTGCCCTACACAGAGTGATACGTGGGGGTCATTTCACTAAAACTTCATGTTTTTTCAAATCTTCCAAAATTAATTTAGTAATCTATTCGCCAATTTTTTAAGTACCTTTAATAGGACTAAAAAGTAAATAATAAAACATACAAAACATTTTTTTTTTTAAGACATGCTTTTCTAAAAAATAGTAAAAAAGTGAACTAAAAAATAAAAAATAATTTTACTACAAGAACAATTTACCAATCAGTCGTAGCACATTTTATTTATAATGTCATTTACCTTGAAAACAACCGAAAGTTAACTACAACTTTAAATAATAATATCTTAAATTTTTGACTAAAAGGACACGCGTGGGCCCTATTCAACAAGGTCCAAATTTATTGAGTTAAGTATTATAAAATGTCAAGCAATAAAATTGATCGAAATTTAAATTACAAAAAAACTTACAATATATAACATTATTCGAAATGTCATTCGATAAATTGACTAGGGACTTTGTTAACGCACTGCTAACATTGTCATATCACTGATAAGAGTGGCCCGTGTGTGATAAGAGTAAAGATAACATACCATTATAGTAATACCATTGAGTGTATTTATTGTACAATATGGCTGTAGTTAAATAATAATAAATACCTAACTATAACTGGCAATATTCGTGCATTTTTATTTGATCTTGTTATGCTACAACGTCCAACAATTGAAACAATGGATCCGACAAATAACCAGGTAAGCACTTATTTTGAAATATTTTTTTTCCATTAAAATTTTCGAATATATATTTGGCGGTAGATATCGGTTGTACAATTTACAAATATGAGAACGCCCATACTGAAAAAATTATATGATACGCTACTTTTTAAGTTTTTTATTGATAACACAATGATCATAAATCAAGTTGTAGTTTAATAAAAGATAAATATAATATCGAATAAAATTGCAATTTGTATGAACAAGTGGTCGTACAAAATTGAAAATATAATTATTTTCTTATGCTTTATTACAATTTAACTACCGTATATCGTCTTACGAGCATAATAGGTTAGTATTAATTACACCATATCATACGAAATACTTGTGTTTCATTATAGTGTAGTTAAAAATATAAAAAATTACAATGACTGCCAACATTTGTACATTTATGCTGTGCTGTTTTGTTATAACGTCAAATATAAACACAATCGAGTCAGCAAAAAATAACAAGGTAAGCATTTATAAATTATAATTTGTGGTAAAAAGCTGTTGTACAATATAAAACTTATTGTTCAATTTTAGACGTTTTGTAATGATGAAAAAAAGCTTCTACTATAAATTTGTTATTATGTTACAATACACGTACAACTAAGATTATTCGTTTGTACAAATGCGACCTATCTATTAATTTTTAGTCATCATCATTTATTTTCAGCCAATATAATCAACATAAATTGTATTTAACCATCATACTGAAATTAAGTTTATTTTATTTTGCATCAAGTTAAATTTTTGTTTTCAAATACTTTCATAACAATTATTATTAGCTATTAAACCGAAAACCCAACTTTTATGTATATATACAATATATTATATTATGTATTTTGTTTGTTTTCAGATAAATCCTATACGATTTTTCATTCACACATCTCGGGAAATCTATATCCGTACCTTGAATAATTTGAAAACATTCAATAAACATCCAATCGTAATTAAACAAGAAGACCAGGTGATTCTGTCAACTCCTGGTGTCGGAAATATTACAGAGTACCATTTAAAATTAAAAAGCCGAGATAAACTAGAGAAAAAAGCTGAGGACATCAAATGTAGCTATAGCGTGGTTGCAAAATCAAACATATCGTACTTGAAGAGCTTAGTGGAAAATTTAAAAAGTGGTGAACCTTTTATTAAAACTTACGAGGATACTATAAAAAGTATTAAAAAGGAAGCCGAAATTATATTCCACTTGTTAATGTTTGGAAATTTAGAAACGGGCAAATGGCTTTGGCATTATTTTTTGAAAATCGTTGCCATCAGAAAGTACAATGTCAATAAACCTTTTATCGATGAAAACCTATTCGAAGACGGCCAACTGCAATCCGGCGTTTCAGATGTCATAGACAATTGTATGGCTGAAAATTACCTTCCTCCGGCTACAATGGAATCGAATTTTATTTCGAAAAATAGGAGTACATTCGATAACATGATCAGCGACCTGTGCAATTCCGGATGGTTAATAGGCATAATATTCGACCGTGACTACGATGCGTTGATAGAATTTTTATACCTTAAACCGTTTTGGGACGACAGTGGATTGTTGTTCAGACAAATGAAAGAAGTCGATATCGATTGGAGTGAGACGAAACAACGATTCGAGCTCGAGATGGTCATTACCAAGGAATTTGTGGCAAATCGCATTTGGATGTACCATCCGTACGGACGCCTCGACCACCAATACTTGTTGGTGAAAATTATCGATGCTAGAATTTATTGCTACCTTACGGTTGTACTGTGTGTTTACGAAACACAATTATCCTCGCTCGACAAAGAGGCGCTTACGAACATCAAAGATGTCATTTATAAACTCATCGTTGAAGTGCTGAAATTAACGGCGTTCAAAGACGAGTTGCTCGTGGCTATTTCGTCGGAAGTCAGGTATGGAAAAATAACTGACTTCGACGACGTACAAGATATTTTAGCAAGAGTGCGGGCAAAGGCCAACGGGATCCTGGACGATTTAAACGGTACCGGGACAAGAGGAACGGACCGGTTCAGTTTCGACATTGACAAACAACAGCTGACTTCAATCGATTTGATAACGGGAATCATTAAGGAATTCCGAGACTATTTAACCGAATTTAGAGGCCGCTTGACGTTCCACTATAAAACGCTTTTGCATTTCATGGATCTAGTCAAAACGGCCGCTGCTCCATACATTTAAGTTTTACAATTAATAGGTTAGTGTTAATAATTACAAAATATCATACGAAAAACTTGTGTTTTAACATAGTATAGTTTGATGTATTGTAAAATATAATAATGATTGCCAACATCTGTACATTTACGTTGTGCCGTTTTGTTATAACGTCAAATATAAAAACATTTAAGGGTAACCACCTGTCTTGTGTGGCCTATTCTATGTCTATTAAGAATGCCGCTGTCTCTCCGACAAAACATTTTTGGTGGTGGCCAGTATTCTAGTGGATTTTTATTTCTAAAAAAAAAAAAATATTATTTGTACATTTAACGGAAATCATAAAATAAAGATTTTGAAAATCGTGTTTATAAAACGAAGAACACAACCTATAAAAAAAAAAATGATTTAAACAATAACATTTTTTAAGGGTCCTTTCACATAATTATTATTATTGTTGTTAAAATACTAATTATTATTTAATATTTGTTTAGTACAAATTCCTATAGAGTCTATAATATAGACATATCTAAGTATACTTCACTATTATTTACAATCAAATTAATAAAATTACAATAAATAAATAATAAGGATAACAACAATAATGTAAAAAAAAAAAATGATCATATTATAAAATAAAACTATTTCTTCATTTTATACATCAATATTGTATGAACACTGGGTTGTCATTTTTATAAAAGAAAATATATTACATTTTTAATATAATCCCGTGTACAATATACAACGCCTACAATATGTAACATAGTTTATATAACTGTCTTATCGACTATGTGTATCTATAAAAATTAAAAAAGCGTTTGGGATTACACAAGATTGAATTATTTTAGCCTCGTGACAAAAAAATGAATAGGTATTGAACAAAGTTTTAACACGAAAATACAATATTATATTGTTTGTCTTTGGTCACACTACAATTCTATAGTGTATTTAAACTTTTAGTACATTTCTTAAATTCATGTTAAAATTTGATGACATTTAACACTATTTTAAAGTTGTTCTACATGTAAAATTAATAACTACTAATGGTTGTTATTATTACCTATGAGTAGTCGAACCAATTATTTTTAATAAAAATATATTAGCTCATATTATATCCGTGCTCAAATTCCCACTTTTTGTGATAAATTTGTATTTGTTTAATTTAATATTGTTTGCACTACCGCCATATCATGATTTTTATAATAATTAAGTTGTACGTTATCGTTAAATTATCATTTATCCGATCTACTATTTCAATATGTTTACGTCCATTACTAATCTCCCTGACTTTAATATTTCAATTTGGGTTTAGACACTGGTGAGATTCATAGCCACAACTCTCTTACCTGTCACTATAAACATCCCTCATAATATTTTTAATTCAAACACTAAAAAAACCCTGTTGCAAACAATGTGTAGGTATATTTGTCCTATTATCATAATAATATTGGACATTAACAATAAGAATTATAAGTGGCACCTACGATTCTTGTCCACAAAAATAAATTGTTTTACAATGCTGTAAGTTGTAAAATGACAGCTAATATTTTAATAAAAGTATTCAGTAGGAACAAAGTTTTCAAAAAAATAACATTCTAGAAAACATTTCGGTGTGGATCTGTATTGGTATTATTATTTAAAACCCGTATTTTACAATAATTTTTCCAAAACAACACACACATATTTATTACTAAAACTGAATTAAAATAATCGATTTGCGATGGGTCAATACACGACAATAGGCAGAATTTAGTAAAATCGATTTATAGATGAACCTGGGCATTTAATACTTTGGAGCAAACAATACATCTCGGTAAAATTGAGGGATTCTTATCCCTCAACTTCTCTAATATTAAAGAAAAAGTTTTGTTTAAGAAAATTGCCAATTTAAGTTCACAAATAACTACTTTTGTTTTAAAAACAACTGATACACGTGATAGTCATGAGACAGTCGATATTACATTTTAAGTAAGACAACGTGTACAAATAAGTGTCAAGTACACATAGTCTGTGACTTTATAACGGGGTTTTATAAAAAATCGAATAACCTTGTGTTATGAATATTCTATTAAATATAATTTTATTGTTTTCTTTGTTAAAGCTACTGATTTTTATGCAAGCCTACTGCGACAATCGCTAATATGCTTAGAAATAATTTATAACAACGACAACAAATTACGAGCGATTATAAGACGTACATAATAGAAAATAAATAACTAAAGAATCATGTAAATTATCCTTTTTTTAAATGTATGACATATTATTTATTGTACGTAAAAAACACAATAGCCATTATCATCCAAAAATGTGTGGAAATATTTTAAATTCCGTGCTTATGTAATTAACAATATTCAAAATATTTTATTTTTAACTGACATGGCATATCAATAAAAAGAGGTCAAAGTTAAAAAGTGAATAATTATCAAATTCGGTTTAATTTTCCTGATTTCGATTATGAAGGATGAATTTTTTTTTTAACAATATATTAAATGTCACATTTTACACTTAATATATAAAGATAGTGAGTTTGTTTTTTTTTTTAAGAAAGTTAGTATGAATAAATAAACATTTGGTTCGGGGTAATGTCAAATAGTTTTGTCTTTTCAGAATGTTCAAAATATAAAACCGTTGCCCTCGAATTTTTTTTTTTTTTTGCAATTGTATGATCACTTTTGAATATGACTTGCGATATTAAAATTCGATGGTTGACAATATTCTCGCACAGACATCAAAGCTTAGGATTTTTACACAACGATTTAAATTTTTTTTTTTTTGTGTACCGTGGCTGTAATTTGTACACGTTATCTTTTAGTTTAATATCCATTGTTTTATTTATATAGTGAGTATTATAACATAAACTTGCGTGTACACAAGTGTGTCACAATCTATAACGTTTTAAAATGAAACAAATAAGGTTAAAACTTTATTCCAATTCCGAACCTCCTATCACATTATTTCCTTTATTATCGAGGCTGGTTTCTCTATTTAATGCATTTTGTTAAGTTTTGTTTTAATTTTGTATATACCTATTAGCCACTCATTATTGTTTAATTTTATGTAATTGTCGAGATAAATTGTAATATGCAGAATCTCAATAAAAAAAAAAAAAAAGGTTAAAACTATTAAGAAACAAAAACTGGCGTACTTACATATAATAAATGAACATATATGCCCAGTAGATATTCCTAGACGGCGGAACTTACTAGTACTATAACTAAAGGTACAAATTCGATAAAAATTTGTACTAAAACTAAATTGCCTCGTTTTAAAAATGCAAAATCATACCAAATTTTAAATATTTTGTAGGAATTTAAACGACTAATTAAAGATTTGCTCTCTTTAGGCAATACAAATTCTATTTTGGCATCGATACTTTTTATCCGTATTTCACATGTATGTAAAGGTAAAATACATACGTATTATACTCGTTGGTGTATATAACTTCCATAGTTAAACTTACCGAACTCTGATATTATTCTTGGAATGAGTATTTATTTAACAAACAAATAGTACAAATTTAAAAAATACATATTAACTTATTCACAACAAAAAGATGATTTGCTTTTAAATATCATATCAATTATTTTGTTATCTATAGAATTTCTATGTAGCCAGAATGAAAAATATTAATAATATATATTACAATAATATTATAACGCGTTGAATGAATAAAACATTTTGAAACGTTAGTAAGCTTAGAAATAATAGTGAATTAACATAACTATATTTTAAATGTTGGACAATGATGAAATTAATTAAACTAAGACAGTCTAGAACGATTAAGAAGGCGAGAATACTGAAATACACCAATAAAATTCAAAAACACTTTATAATGGAACGGTAAGAAACTTTTAAATTCTTTTAAATAGTCTTCAAAATCGTTGATGATTTTTTTTAACAAATCGTAAGTAGGCAGTTGGTCTTCGTAAAGGTTTAAACTGAGCCGATCGATTTCGTTTGAACTGGCACCATTTAAATCGTTTAGAATCCCGTTGGCCTTTGTCCGCACTCTTGCTAAAATGCCATTTATGTGTTCGATGTCGCTTATTTTTCCAGACTTGAGTTCGGATGAAAGGACAACAAGAAAATCATCTTTGTAGGCCGTTAAGTTCAATGCTTCAGCTATAACGTTAATAATAAGATCTTTGATGTCTGTAAGCGCCTGTTCGCCGAGCATGAATAATTGTTGTTCGTAAACATGCAATACAACCGTAAGGTAACAATAAATTCTGGCATCGATAATTTTGACCAACAAGAGTTGGCTGTCCAGGCGTCCGTATGGTTTGTACATCCATGTGCGATTTTCTACAAATCTTTTGGTAATAACCACTTCATGTTCAAATCGTTGTTTCGTTTCACTCCAATCGATATCGACTTCTTTTATTTGTCTAAACAAAAATGTATTGTAGTGCCAAAACGGTTTGAGATATAAAAATTCTATCACGGCCAAAACACGGTCGTAGAAAGTATCATGAATCAATATGGTATCACGTAGATGGTGAATCATAATATGGTATGTACTAATATTTTTCGAAATAAAATCATATTCCATTGCAGTCGGAGGAAGGTATTTTTCAGCCATGCACTTTTCGATGACACTTGTAACACCGGATTGCAGTTGGTCGTCTACGAATGGGTTTTCTCGGATAAAAGGTATAATATTATCGCCGTATTGACTGATGGCAACGATTTTCAACAAAAATATCCAAAGCCATTTTCCAATCTCTAAATTTGACCTCATTAACATTTGAAGTATATTTTTGGCTTCCTCTTCAAGACGTTTTATAGTATCCTCGTAATTAATAAAAGGTTCTCCGCTTTTTAACTTGTCAACTAATTTTTCCAAGTACAATATGTTTGATTTTGTAATTACACAAAAACTACATTGAATGTCTTGGATCTTGTTCTCAAATTTACCCAGAGATTCAATTTTTAATTGTATTTCTTCTTCATTATTACAACGTTTCGACAGAATATTCTCTTCGTTAGCTTCAATAACAATTGGAATTTCTTTGAATGTATTTACGCGATTTATGCTATATACATACCACGCATTATATAGCGGATTAACAAATTGTATAGGAGTAACCTAAAATAAAAAATGTATTACAAAAGGCAACTATAAAAGTGACCCAAATTGGGTGCTTTGCCTAATAACTATATTAAAAATAATTATTACTCGTATGTTAAAAAAAAAAATTAACTAGTCGTTTAACAAAATAACATGGTACATCTAATATATATTGTAGTTTTTTTTTATATTGCTATAAAAATTAATTTTTATATTGTACAGCTTCTATCAGTCGCAAATTTTGAGATCGAAATTATTTCAGAGAAATATTATAGTTAAAAATATATGTTTACCTTGCTGCTGCTGCCTGCCGACTCGATTGGTTTTATATTTGACGTTATAGCAAAACAACACAAAATAAATGCAAAAATGTTAGCAAGCATTGTTATTTTTCAAGTTTTTAATTGAACTATAATAAAACACAAGTCTTACGTGTGGTAAAGTGTAACTTATAATAAAGTATTATACTCACCAGACGTTATACGGTAGCTAAATTGTAATAATAGCTAAACACTTGATCATGCAAATTGCAATTTTTTTTTTATTACACAACAACTTGATTTATGAATATCGTGTTATTAATTTAAAATTAAAATAGCAGCAGCTGATGTAGAATATAATTTATGTAACGTTTCATTTCCGGTGCCCTATAGTTTAATAATTAATATCAAGCCAAATAAAATAATTGTATGTATTATTTTTATAAATGTTAAGCAATGTAGATGTGTACAGGTACTATATGACGTATAATAATTAATATAGAATATAAAGAAAATATTTAATTATTTAAAATTTATAGTATACATTAGGGTGGCGCAAAAAAAATCGATCTTCGAAATGTTAATGGGCTAACATTTAAATTTGTTCTATACATCAAAAAAGAGACTTGGTGAAAATTTGAGATAAAAAAAAAAATTTTTACTGATCGCTCAACGCGTTTTAAGTAAATTGACCAAAAATTTTCAAAAATGACTTAAATTATAACATTTTTGGTCAAAAATCCTCATTAGCACATCTAAATTGTAGTATTTTTCGCGTTAAGTACAACTGTTTGAGTTTTAAAATCCTAAGTTAAAAATTAATTACGTAATTAACAAAAATTCGTAATTAAAAGGTTAATTTTCAATTAAGCTTAAATTAACTAAAAAAATTTTTTTTTTTAAATTTTTAATACTTTATTTTGTTGAACGTTATGTATGTTTCTAGTGAAAAAAAAATTTTTACTAATGTTAAAAACTTATACCTTTTTTGTCATTTTTTCGTGCACCAAAATGAACGTTTTACTGAAAAATGTGTATTATGTGTCAAATAATAAAATACTTATCGTTATGAATTTTGGCTGTTATATTTGATTACAATTTATTTAATAACCATGATATTAGGATGTATGTCTTTTGCATAGCTCACAGTCGTTATATATTTTTTATCTTTTTAAAATTAGTTTATATTTTAAATGCTAAACACTTGCGCGTATTATTATGATTATATGATTTTAAATAAAAAACGTTTACCTAATTTGGAGCCTCTTAAATTAACATTAAAAATATATTTCAAAATATAGTAGGTTATTAACCATTCACTGTAACTAAATTATTTTTATAAGTGTGGGGAAGCACAGGTCTATAAGAATTATTACAAGTTGAAAACATGTACATTTACCAGGCTTTTTTTTCGATTTCGAAAATCAAGGTGTATCATTTTTTGTGTACACAAGAGTCTCACAATCTTTAACGTTTTAAAATGAAACGTCTTAGTATAAAATTATTTTTAAAAAAAACTTTCGTACTTACATATAATTAATGAACACGTATGCCCTCTAAACAAATATTAAAAATAATTGCTAGATGCTCTTAAACGGCGGCACTTATTAGTGCTACGTCTAAAGGTACAAATTCAATAACAATTTCTAACTAATCGCCTTTTTTAAAAATTTATACAGCGCCAAAATGATCAAGCTGAAAATGCAAAATCGTACAAAACTTTAAATATTTTGTAAGAATTTAAACGACTAATAAATCAAAGATTTACTCTCTTTAGGCATTACAAATTCTATTTTGGCTGCGATGAGTTTGATCAGTATTTTACATGTACATAAACGTACAATACATACGTGTTATACTCGTTGGTGTATGCAACTCTTATACTTAAATTTATCCAACCCAAGGTGGGACATAATACAATACACCATTTTCTCTGTTATCCGTTCTAAAATCATTTTTTTTTTTATTAGGAAAAATACCACCAAAAAAAACAGTGCAGTTCGAGCCAAGCTCAGATTAAGCCAGTTCAGTATAAACCATAAGAGTTCTAAAATCATTAATATAAAAATTATTTATTTCATAATTTTGATTTTTTATTTGCATTGAAAAGGGCTATTGTTATTTTTCCAAAAAAAAAAATCATTGGACTTTAATTATATTTAGTTTTATAAACATTATTTTTAAATCCATATTTTATATGGATCAATTTGTATAGTATTATAAATTGTATTATTCAAGTATGTTTTACATACTCTGTGTTCATCGTTTTTATAACATGATTTTGAAAATCATTATTTTATATTTGCCGTTAAACGTCTAAATATTTTTTTTAATTAAAAATCAAATTTTTCCAGTGATTTTCTGTCATAAAACAAATGTATCTTACAAAATATTTTTCTTGGAATAAGTTTTAATTGAACAAAAAAATATTTTTAATGTGTACACATCTTAAAAAGATATTTTAACATAATATTTACCAAATGTAGTATGAATTGCTTTTAAATATCATATTATCAATAATATAATTTACTGTGTAGCCAAAATGAAAAATACTAATAATAATATATCTTACATTACTTGCATTAAATGAATTAAATATGGTTTAGGAAAGATTTTTTGGAAGTTTTACTATGCTTAGTAACAATAATGAATAAACATAACTGTATTTTATATGTTGGACAATGATGAAATTAATTAAATTAATATAGTCTAACACGACTAAGAAGGCGAGAATACGGATATTCACCTATAAAATTCAAAAGAACTTTATAATCAAACGGCAAAAAACTTTTTAATTCTTTTAAATAGTCTTCGAAATCGTCGATGATTTTTATTATCATATCGTAGGTAGGCAATTGGTTTTCGTCATGATTGAAACTGAGCCGATCGATTTCGTTTGAACTGGCACCATTTAAATCGTTTAGGATCCCGTTGGCCTTTGTCCGCACTCTTGCTAAAATGTCATTTATCCAATCGATATGGTTCACATTTATTTTTCCAAACTTGAGTTCTGATGAAAGGACAACAAGAAAATCATCTTTGTAAGCCGTTAATTTCAATGCTTCAATCATAACCTTAGTAATACGACTTTTGATGTCTGTAAGCGCCTGTTCGTCGAGCATAAATAATTGTTGTTCATAAACATGCAGTACAACCGTAAGGTAACAATAAATTCTGGCATCGATAATTTTGACAAACAAGTATTGGTGGTCGAGACGTCTGTACGGATGGTACATCCAAATGCGATTATCCACAAATTCTTTGGTAATAACCACCTCGAGCTCAAATCGTTGTTTCGTCTCACCCCAATCGATATTGACTTCTTCCATTTCTCTGAACAGTAACTGATTGCTGAGCCAAAATGGTTTGAGATATAAAAATTCTATCACGCCCAAAACATGGTTGTGGAAAATATCATCAATTATTGTAGGATCATATAGATGGTGGAACATATAATCGTATGTGTTATAATTTTTTGAAATAAAATCATATTCCATTGCAGTCGGAGGAAGGTATTTTTCAGCCATGCACTTTTCGATGACACTTGTAACACCGGATTGCAGTTGGTCGTCTACGAATGGGTTTTCTCGGATAAAAGGTATAATGTTATCACCGTATTGACTGATGGCAACGATTTTCAACAAAAATATCCAAAGCCATTTTCCAATCTCTAAATTTGACATCAATAAAATTCGTAGTATATATTTGGCTTCCTTTTCTAAACCTGTTACAATTTCCTCGTTATTAGTCAAACGAACTCCGCTTTTTAACTTTTCTGCTAAATTTTTCAAGTACAGTATATGTAATTTTGTAACTACACAATAACTACATTGGATGTCTTGAATTTTGTTCTCAAATTTACCCAGAGATTCAATTTTTAATTGCATATCTTTATCACTGTATAAATGTTTCGACAAAATATTCTCTTCATTGGATTCAATAATAATTGTATCTTTTTTGAATGTTCTTAAGCGATTCACTTCATATACATACGGCTCTTCATATATTATAATATTTAATAAATAATGTTTCTTGTATTGTACAGGTACTTCAAACTGCCGAATTTTAAAAACGAAATTATTTCAGCAAAAAATGTATAGTTAAAAACAAATGCTTACCTTGCTGTTGCCCGTTGACTCGATTGATTTTATATTTGACGTTATAGCAAAACAACACAAAATAAATGCAAAAATGTTGGCAACCATTGTTATTTTTCAGAATATTTTTAACTAAACTATAATAAAACACAAGTCTTACCTGTGGTATAGTGTAACTTAAGTCTTATACTAAAGTATCATTTTCGCCAGACGTTATACGGTAGCAAAAGTTTTTATTGCGTTACAGTGTAAAAAGGCATAAGTAAAGTGTTTTTATTTTGCGATTCCATTCGACCACACTTGTTCATACAAATTGCAATTTTTTTTTTTTTTTTTTGAAACACCAGAACTTGAAGTATGAAATAGCAGCTTACGATAAAGCGTATTTTTTAGAGCTCTGTGACCATATTTTTTGGTATAATTTATGTATTGTAAAACTTTTAGGTTATACACTTTTTACTATCGTTTTACGTTTAGTTGGGAAAAATCGATTATCTATCATTTCCAACTACTCAGTGCCCTATTGTTTAAAAATTAATTTCAAGCCGAACAAAATAATTGTATTTACTGTTTAAACAAAATATATTTATGAATGTAGATGTCTGATACCATATTATGATGTATAATAATTAATATAGAAAATATTTCATAGTTTTAAGTTTATGATTTGAATATAAACTGTATTGAAATGTATACAAACATGTTGAGCTTAACAACGAACATAACTCATTAAAATGAACTGCTATCATCTTTTTTAAGAATACTCCACTACTGTTTGTCCAAACATACTTACATAAATATGTAACTGGAATCAATTGTGTTTGCAAGTTAGAACAGTTTGTTAAAGTCAAATTATTATAGTTGATGTTTAACATAACACATTGATTGATAACCATGATATTAGGATGTATGACTTTTGCATAGCTCACACTTGCTTTTTAATTGTTTAAATATTTCACATTTTATACCTAGTTGCCCATTTTAGTCTTCGGTAGATTACCACCATGACACCTTAATTTAATTACCCAAGCGAAGCGGAACATGAGTTTTAATACCTACTATACCTCAATTCTTACAAAAACATACTAACATAGTAAAAAAAATGTGATCAGAGGCCCTAACCGTATTAAAGTGGGCATGAACTCCGCTGCACGTTAGTACATAGGAACATAGATATTTCTTTATATAGAAGTATAGATTGTTTTTTAACTATTAAGTGTTAAGGGGAAGGTGGGGGGGGGAATTGCAGCCACCTAAGCAATAATTAAAATACCTTCGAAACTATAAGTCCAGAAATTTGGCTATTTCTTGAAATCGAACTATCGAGTTTTTTTTTCGGAAAAAATATTCCGATGTAATTGATAATTATTTTTTGGTGGAAAAAAAGCTGTTTATCATTTTGAAACATCTTAGGTAGTATTATTTTTTTACAACCCTCCCCCCCCCCAGAGCAAGTTTGAATGTACCCCACTGGTTATGGAAAAGCGTGCTACAGTGTATTTACTCAAATGCATAAGGCTTGGTTTATTAAGTCAGAGGTATTAATATAATTTTATCTTAAATAACTCTCCGATCCCCGTTTTAATATACCCTACTCTATATAAACCCATTTAGTTACCTTTAGTTAAGCTTTATCTTGTAAAAATGTCTAGTTTCACTTGGGGTGTTTAGGGAACTGCATTTTTTTCAAGAAATGATCGTGCAATTATTCTTTAGATCTTCAATAACTATAAACTCAATTTGAAAAAACTTCTCTTGTGCTTAAAAGGGGGAATATAAAAGGAGGGGGGAGGGGTACTGGTTGAGGACAATTTTTTTCTTGTACATAATACGTATTACAATATTGTATATAATATATTATATTGTAATATACGGATAGTCATCGTTCGACCAAAAACGTCTTTTGTGGAATAGAAATTAGAATACATTTAATTAGACTACATACCTATACGAATATTATTGATTTAAAAATAATATATAATCTATACCTGTTTTGGAAATGTTTAAGTTATTTAGGTAGTAGGTATATATTATGTGTCAATATTCAATATTTACATCGCATTCACCAGTTGTCCAATTACAATATATCCTATAGTTGATTTAAATAAGAGTAAATTGTGTTTTATAATATCTAAGTATATTTTATTGCGGATAAGGGGTTTTTTCATAGTTATACAATATTATGTCCTCTGTATATCGTCTGATGGAAAATTATTTCGCAAATACATTTCCCCCGTTTGATTTTTTTTTTTTTTATAATTCTCCACCAATAGTATCATTCCAAGAAAAAGTTATATGGAAACACCAGCCATAAACTACAAAAACGCGTTGAAAACAGTAACGGAAGGGCCCATCTAACACATGTGCGAATTAGGAAAAAATGGCCAAGAGTTAGCAGAGAAGTTGATGCAGTTCCCAAACACATATAAAACTAATATATGGAAAAAAACTACTACACACTAATCTGTTGCAGATTCATCATATAAAAAAAAGTATTTGTAAAAACGAAGTATGCGTATGATCGACAAGACTGACGTCAGCTACAATCTGCGTTTGACGTTTGACACTATACGACAATAACATGTTTTCTACAAAAAATCGTACGCCCCATGTAAACACAATGGTTCTTTTAAAACATATCCCGTTAAATGTAGAAAAAGACTGTACGCTTTTGTAATACAACTACATATATAATAAAATGGGTTTCAGTATCGATTGGCGTGGTTTTCTTCATAGTGTTTTTAAAGAGTTCAACGTTTGACATTATGTTAACATGTATTATACAACTATGTGGATTTATTTTTTAGCATTTATTATTTTATGGTCAACTCCAGGTAATTAATATTATATTTTATTAATATAAAACATTTTTTTCATTATTATTCAATTGCAGCAATTTATGCGCGAAAGTTATGTACATAATTATAGATATTAACGCTAACTAAAGTATTTTGTTGTAGGCTCAATATTATTAATACAGGGTGATTCTTTTATCATGAACCGCTCAATATCTCAAAGGTATTAATAAGAAATTAAAATAGTTTTTTTTATATCGTTGTTATACAATATGATCTCAATTTTTCGCAATTTTTTTTGTTTTTACCCCCCTCCCAATTTAGTTTTTTTGATAGCAACTTTTGATACTTAAATGGTAAAGAGTAAACCTTGTAGAGTTATTTTTATCTACCCGCGTTACCTACCGCACTCCACCTCCCGTCATCAGTCAACTTCACTTTCAAATGAATATAACTTTTGAATGGATGAATAAAAATACAAATTTATTTCACCAATTATTTTTTAAAAATATTTTTGAATAAAATGGCCATCTTGAAAAAAAGAATGTAATAAAAAAAAAAGTAAAACAGGTAAGTGCAATAAAAACGATGGTGCTACAGCGCAAGTGAGTGGAAGTTTTTAAAAAAAAATCTCAAAAATATTCACTAGAACTAAAGTCATTTAATTTATCAAATCTTTGTGGGCCATCCTGTATAATCTATTTATTTGAGGAAAAAACGTAAAAATATTAAGTACCTTTTAAAACAATAGACTTCTGAAAATGTTCCGTAAACTTGGGTCTAAATCTGAACATAGGTTTGATAACCACGAAAAATGTCTTGTTTTTTTTTATGAAATTTTTTTATCGTGTCCACGTAAAGGTAATTTGTGATTTCCACAAAATGTTATACAATTAAACATTTTTTTTTTAAATATCTCGATTTTTAGAAACTTGCTCATTAGGACGTTTAATCCCTGATTTCGCTATCAATTTGACTTCTTATGTCAATAGTTCCGAACACTTAGAAATTTGCCTCATTTTGTAGACGTTTAAGCGAATTTTCATGTTTATTTATTTTGGCTAAAAGATGTATTAAATCTTTTACTCCAAGATATCTCACCTCCGAAAAAAAAGGGGAAAAAAATAGCCCAGTATTAAAATGACGAGTGTATTCATTTTGTGCTTTTTATGGAATATTAGTTAATATTATTTTATGTTATATTTATATATACTACGAAAACCGGGTTTTATATGCGCGGTTCACAATAAAGCGCACCACAACGTTGTAATCTTTATCTAGTCAGAAAATTAGTATCGCCCTAGTCATAACAAAGTTTATACGACCGCCGCTGTATGATATTATACTTATAGATACTCACAATGTTATTAGTTATATCGACAGTCACCTGCACTATCACATTATTATATATATATATATATATATAACAAAGTATTCCTTAAAATGAAATATCAAATCGAATATATTATTTCTACTGTTCACCGTCGCACATAGCCGCATATAGTAATTACAATAATAAATTATAATATCACATAGAATACAATAAAAAGTGTAACAATAATACACACATGTTATACATAAAAGGTTTACAGATAGAATGAGCACAGAGCCCTTAAACCAAATGCTATTTATGTCAAAACTACAAGGTTGTACGCGCGCCCAAAACTGCACGAGTGTTAGCAAAACAATCTTGTTTTTCAGAAAACATTTTTCTGTTTACTAAGTATTTTTATAATAAAGATAAACAACATATTTATATTGTGAAATACTTCCTGATGTATAAAATATTAACTATTATTTCTACAATTTTCAATTTCCAATTCTATACAATCGTTTTTGTTCTCATTTTTTATTTTTTACCATAACACTAAAATGGTTAAAACTATGTAATTTAAAATTTTTGTGGAATTTAGCAAAATTACCTTATAATTTACTAGAGAGTTCAGCCTATTTTGTACGTTTTGTATATTTGCTATTGTGCTATAAATTGACTGTTTGTATATTTTTATTGTGGATTATAAGTTAAATAGCAGTCGGTCGTTTGCTAATTTATTATAACAGGTGTCCAAGAAGTATATAAAAATTAATGGCATTTTTCTTGTTTAGCCAAAACTAACAATTTTACAATTTAAATATTTATTTCTCACCTTAAAATATTACTCCGCTGGTAGATATTACTATTTTAAACAATCTTTTGCTAAAATTAAAAAATAATAAAGTTATATTATTTATACATTAAAGCATGTTTATATCATAGTCAAAAGTAATATCAACAGTTTTTTAATACCATAGCCCAAAATGTATTCTACACAGTTACACAGTTATGAAGTGTAATATTTTTAGTAATATGATAAAAGTAGCAGTAAGTGCATCCAGTTTTGACAATTTTGGTGTAATGGTTCTAATTCGATTAAAAGTAGGTAGTACACAAAGTGGCAAAATCTGATATGCCAGATGATTTTATTATGAACTATTAGTTCTAATAAAAAAGCTATTATTAAAAATTTGATAGACTGACTTGTCAATTAAACTGGTTCAACTTTCCCCCCATTACTGTTCGTAACATTCTTCCTCTCCTAAATAACAATTATTCATTGCTTTTATTATATTTCATTTTAAACTAGTGACAACGAAAAAATTGAATCATATTTTTGTAGGTCAAATTTAGCCATCTATCTTAATAATAAATTATACATAATTTTTGTATTACTTTTTTGTATACGTATGTGCATTATTAACTAATTACAATACTTATTTCAGGTTTTTAGATGTTGTTTTGGTTGTAGAAGAAGAACGATTGCACGCCCATCGAATTGTATTAGCCTCACGCAGCGTATATTTTAGGTAACTCATTCTTATCATTGTGTATATTTCCTTAGCGCTTTCCACTTGGGCGGGTGAATTTTTTTTTTTTTTTTTGTAGCTGTAGCTTTTGAAAATCAGGTCTAAAATTTAGGCATAAATTAAGTTTTTATTTACCTGTATATAGGGCATTCCAAGTCAAACCGGGTTAGATTCACATTAGTTAGTAGTCACAAAAGTTTACTCTGGGTACGTTGTGACCAAAATTGAGACCCATTTTAAATACATGGAACATGCCGATGGACGTATTTTAAATTAAAAAAAAACTTTTTATACTTGGACACTCGAAACAAATGGTTTCATCATCCCAAAAATGGTATAACTAATATCAAGTAGAGTACAATTATCTCGCTTACTCCTGAAAAGGGTATTATTTTTACTACATTATATTATGTTTGTAGTAATATTTTGTATTATTTTTAGTGTCTTATTGTATGGAGGTGTCATAAAGAAACCTAAGAAATGGATGTGCCAATAATGTGGAGCACCGTTAAACTTATTTAAAATACTTCTTAAATATATTTATACTGGTGAAATAAATAATTCAAGTGATCTAAAGGTAACGAATAGTCGACGCAGCTTAGCGGCTATTAAATTGCATAAATATAATTTTTACTAGTGTTTTGGGACCGTTCGGCCCACAGTATGTGTTTGATCTGTGAAATTAAATTATGTGTTTAATCGAAAAAGAGGTCATTAAAAAAAGATTGAATACATTTTTTGGTTCTTTATTTTTTAGGTTGAAGCGGTTAGCGAATTGGAATTACTCAACATTATCGAAAACAACGCTTTGGACTTATTGCAATCTGAAGATTTTCTGGCTATGTCATAGGTAATGATATTTTTATAAAAAAACAAATAACATTGCTCGTGTTAGGTGAAAAGTTGTGAAAAAATTGTTATTTTGAGGAAGCTCATCAAGGAATTCTCAATCATGACTTGCTTTATGGTAATGAATTACTTATATTCCATGCGGTTGGTCGTTGGATCATTGATAACCAAGACTACCTAGTTCGTGATAATAAAATCAGTGTTTTATCGGCCGTCAGATATCATATAATGAGTGATGGAGAACTGTCTGAGGCTAGAACTTACAACAGGTTAGTTCTGATATCATTTTAGATGCCATACTATTTAGAACCACGTGGCCAACAGTCAAGCTACAATTTCGAGGACAGCTAGGTATGCTTGTTGTTTACATCATTTTGTATTTCGCAAATTACATTAGCTTTAATTATTTCATTGTTTAGAACCAAATGTGAATCATATTTGTCAGTCTCAGAAATTTCCAAATCTTCTTCGTCGGTCTCAGGGTTTTCCGTTTAACGACGGTACCAATATGATAATGTTGGATAACCTATCAATTATAAATTATATTTAAATAACGTATTGGTATGAATATAGGATGGGCAATTGAAATAACCATTATTTAAAAATAAATGTATATAATTAATAAATTCAATTTTTAATTGGCGAGAATTTATTTTAATTATAAGTCAAGCAAAAAAATGTATCGCTGATTGATATTATATTTTCTATTCTTATTGTTTATTAAGTATTAGTTTTCCATAACTTTCATTCATTATTCGACAACTTTTTTGCCAATACTGTATTGCCTAATATTAACAAATCACTGCTTTACAAGTTATTCGAATTATTTTATACATTAGGTATTATTCTTATTACGTTGAAGTTTCAATGGATCAGAAAAATTGGACACTTGGTATAGACTATTCAAATTATAATTGTCGAGCAATTCAATATTTGTAGATTTGTCCCTGCATAGTTCGGTATATAAAGATTGTTGGATCCAAAAGTTCTGCTAATGCGATTTTGTACAATCTTTTTCTACATTTAACGGGAAATATTTCAAAAGAATCATTGTATTTACATAGTGTGTACGATTTTTTGTATGGACGCGTGTTGTTGTCGTATACTGTCATACATCAAACACAGATTGGAGCTGACGTCAGGCTTCTTGATCATAATATACATAATTCGGTTTTACAAATACTTTTTTTATAGTATGAATCGTACGCTGCAAATTATTGTGTAGGAGTAGTCCTCTATAATAAATGAATATAATATTATATTATTTAAAAAAAAAATATATTTATATATATATACATTTATTAGAGATCACATTATATAAGACTACAGGGAAAGTATTGGGAAAAAATGCTATTATTAAGAAATTGAGACATTGACTGGCTCACGATAAAAAAAATTACATATACAGGCTTGTTAGTAATTTAATGGAGATTTTAATTTATAAACGAGAATCCTTGAAGCCAAAGAAAATGAGTGTGACTTTTAAATAAGCTTAGACGATCCATTCAAAAAGAAATGCATAATTATTCCGATTTATTACAAATTTTACAATATGTATTAAATAAATCCAATGTTCCTGACAATAAAACTATGAGATTCCAATGATGATATTAAATGTATAGGACGCTATCAGATATGACATAACTAAATTTCTACAAAAAAAATTCACTTAAGCCCATTAGGCTTCTAGGTTAGTCGATTAGATTTTTTTTACGTCTGGAATTTTAATTAGTATATTTATTTTTATATTCGATTCCGAATTACAATAGTGGTTGTCCGGGCGTGTGTGGGGACTAGATACATTTCAGAAATATTTTCTCATCCCAAGTAAATGTTTAACTGTATGGTATAATGCATGAATATTATTATTTTTTTGTGTAAACATTTAATATTATTGTATTTAGATTCAACAACATACATCGTTTACTATTCATTTTTTAATCTCTTTTATAGCGGATAGCTATGTGTTTTCTTCATGTGGGCTATATTCCAAATTTACAAAATTGTTTATGTGGTTGTGTATTGATTCAAAGAAGTTTTTTGTGTGAGCACATGTTATTCACACGAAAAGAAACTAAAAAACTAAGACACTTAACACAGTGGAAAATAGTTGTTTTCACACATCATATTTTTAAGGTCTTTTATATACTAACAAAAAAGTACGAAAAAACAGGCTACACAGACCAGTCATAAGTATTCTTATTTGTTATTTCACGTCGGTACGAATTTATGGTGAACAAAATGCAAAAAAAAATATCACTAACCGCGTGTTGCTTAGACATTTTGTCGTTTATTATAGCGCATTTCAAATAATGAAATTCAAAGTACAAAATAAAACACAATACATTACCAATTGACAACCCAAATTTGGGCCTCTGGTTAAAGGGTTCTGTACACGTTAGAAAATAATCTTTCTACTTGTTAAAACTTAATACTAGTACGTTATAGCTCTATTAAGAAAAAGCTGTTACTTGTTAAATTAAAATTGGGCACTCTTAGGCTTTGAATCTTAGGTCCAGGTTCAAAAAAAATTTGAGTTTAATTTAAATTTAAAATTTAGGACGGGAGTTGTTTTTTTTTTAGTTTAAAATAATGCTACATTCTTTCTGAATGTTATTTTCTTTCTTTCAGAATGTTATTTCCAATTTAAAAATGCTATGATAATGTAAACGTTGCCATTTAAAAAAAATGTAATTCTTACGGTTTTAACACACAAAAAATGGGATTTTATTGATACAAAAACTAGGAAATTTGGGCTAACTATTGACTACTAAAACATAAAAAAGAATAATTTAAAAACGTATTTTATATTTTATAATATTGATTTGGTCATTATTAACCAATCACCCTGAATATATACATACACTGTTAAATCAGTATAATATTATTTATTTGAAGCATTTTACTATAAAACAGTTTTTTACATGGGTACTACGGATTTTTTTTGTCATTTAACCTTGCCTTGACCAAATATACGCAACACAAATGTGTTTCTACCGTAATTTGACTACTGTATTTCGATGTAACAAAAAAAAAAAGTTTTAAGTACCCATATAACATGTAATATTGTTATATTCTTCATTCGAAGTGTTAGGTAAAAGTACAGTAAAAACCGAAGAAAGTACCATAAACTGTTTCCTCTAGAAGAAGTAGCGCCTTTTTTTTTATTTTGCTTGTTAGGTATGGTAAAAAGACTCAAGGTGTGACAAGTATACAACTATATAATAATTTATAGAAAGAAAGAAATATTTTTAGACCAAAATTACAATATATATATAAAATTATACATATTCTTACACAATTCGATTATCCTTATATTGATTTACATTAACAAACAAAACAAAAACTAATTAATATAAAAGAGAAAAATATCATTGTAACGAACACAAGTATGCTTATAACTAGAACTCGGTTCAAGCGACTGTTTCGTTGTTATTCTGAAAAATGAAATTCTCTCTCAGTTTTCGCCAAAATGATAGTAAAAAAATATACACAGTAAAGTATTTGTTACCGTACGATCGTTTTCTACGTTGGAGTCTTATGTAACTTGATTGGGAGCCTCCAAATATACACAACGAAAATCCTACAACATATAAGTGTTATAAAAAGTTTAGAAAAACACATCCATCAGTAGTACTAACATTGCCTGTTGAACTTTTAACGCCAGTTATACGAATGTAGAGCATCGGTGTGGGTTCATAATTCAAAATTTGCCAAGATCGTGTTAGCTCCTCAGATTTGTCTACAAGCATTTGCCAATTCTGATTATCCAGAGAACCTTGAATAGTATAACTGTAGGCTTGGTTATCGCCACTCCAAAGCAGCAACCTATCAATTATGGCAATAATAATATTGATGGTGAAAAAAATCATAACAAAATGAGAGATCATACTACAATAAAAAAAAAAAAAGAATAATACACAATAAATTATATTTTTTATTGTAACTAGTTATTAGAATAATAATTTATTGATTAAAGCTTATCACTGCTAATTACAATAAATTATTATCTACACTATTATTATCCAAGACACTAAAATTGCCCTAATTGTTATTAGGATAAAAATCATTTTAATTGGGTTTGTGTCAATGTTATCCATTTACATGAACATTGCTAATAGGTTTAATAAACTACAGATAAATTTTCAAATTAGAATATAAATCAAAATACATACATTTAGAAGTCTAGATAGAAAAAATGCAATAATGCAAATTTGGACGAGTGATGTTACTACATCCTAATAAATAAATTTGGATCAAGGATCTTACAGAAATGACAAAACATTTAATTACACATGATACTAATGAATAATGATTTTGTACGAGTTGGAGATTTAGATTTTGAGAAGGAAATAAGAAAACAGACGTAAAATTCTAAGAGAAATTGTTTATAGACCGTGTATGAAATCAAAAACCCATTCCAACGACTAGAAACGATAAAAAAGATTATCACAATAAGGCTTATTAGGGCCTGGCCAGCATGGTCAAAAGATAGCTATAAAAATTAAATGATAATTTTACTATTACCTTATTGAACTAAGTATATATGGTTGTGTAAGATGAACCACTATACAACCCGATTCCAGCCGATGCCATGTGTAGCTGTCATCCCTAGCTTTGTCTTCATAGTATGTATTTAATAGCGATATATTATTAACATTATTTTCACCTTCGATTACAATTGCGTCAGAAAAATCTGAAGCGACATTATAGTTGTCCTTAGGAACTTGGTTGAAATTAATAAATTAGACAAATTGTTGTACATAAATTATCTTTTTTTTTATTGGGAAGATTAGTTTCTTCATTGGTATTCTTACTGACAAATCCGTTCTCGATTTCCACTGTGGACATATCTTCTGTATTGTATTTGACAAGCCAAATTTTGAAAGTCGCATTAGCAGAACTGTTGGTTCCAACAATGCGTATATACTGAGCTATGCATGGAGGAAACCACAAACGTTGAATTGCTCGACAATTATAATTTGAATAATCTATAACCCGTGTCCAATTGATCTCATCCCTTGAAACTTCAACGTAATAAGAGTAACACCTAAAATATTAAATAATTCAAATAATCTGTAGTGTATTGATTTGTAAAAAAAAAAAAATACAAAATTAAATATAAGGAACAGAGTTTTGAAAAAAATTGTCGCCTAATAAAAACAAGGTATGAACAACTAATTTTCAATAAACAATAAGAATTGAATGTATATTTTCAATCATTGAAAAATACTTTTGCTTTACTCATAATAAAAAATATCGTCAATAAATAAAATTGGTTATACATAATTAAAATCAATCATGAATCAAAGACACAAATGTGTAAATAATTATTCCATTGGTTTTTTTAAAAATAATGACCATTTCAGCTAAAAATACTTAAAAGTTTAAAACATACTTTAGTTTGTCAACGTTAACTTCATTCCATAACGATTTTTCAATATAGTTTATGGTTGATGGAGTATTTAACTTTATCATATTAGTACCGTATCTGTTATATAGATCCGAAAAACCACGAGAATCTGGAGATCTCCGAGACACAAAAGTAAGACTCACATTGGGTTCTAAAAAAAATTTTAAAAATTGACACCAACACTGATTTATGAAATACAAATTGGTGCGAACAGCAAGCATACTTAGCTGTCCCCGAAATTGAGGCTTATCTGTTGACAACGTATTTCTTAATTGTATGGCATCTGAAACTATATCCGAACTAATCAGTTTTGATTCCTTGGCCTCAGACAGTTCTTCATTACTCATTAAATTATATCGGACGGCCGATAAAACTTTGATTTTACTATCACGATCCAGGTCGTGTTGGTTCTCAGTGATCCAACGACAAACCTCATTGAATATACGTACTTCGTTGGTATAAAACGTGTCACGATTGAGAATTCCTTGAAGAGCTTCCTAAAAATAAAAATTGTTTCTGAACTTTGCACCTAACACGAGAATTATGAATTTTTTTTTGCTTATAAAAATATCATTACAGATGTCAAGGACAAAAAATCTTCGGATCGCAATATTTTCAAAACGTTGTTTTCAATCAAGTTGAGTGATTTGACTTCGAGCTCCTTATATTGATAAAGTCGTGTCAAAACAAGGAACGAACATACATTATGCACATTAATGCTTCTTTGCAAATACTCGTACAGTGAGTGGTTTAAGTTTAATACGCCGAAAAAATCAGCAATCCTACGTAACTCGAAAACCTCTTGAAACTAAAAAAATTATTTAATCTATTTTTGTTAACCGTTTTTCGCTTAAACACATACTATAGCCCGAACGATCCCACAAACCTAATTGAAATTATATTTGTGCCGTTTAATAAACGCTAAACTGTGTCGACTATTCGTTACCTGAAGAGCACTTAAATCTATTCGACCAGTATAAATATATCCAAGAATTATTTTAAAGAAGGTTACAGGTGCTTCACTTATATTCACATTCAATTCGTTGGTTTCTTTAAGACCTCCATACAACATGATGCTAAAAATAACACGCAATATTAATACTATTTAATTTGATCCTAATCTTAAAACCTGATGTACAAAAACTACAGCTAAATAAACAAAAATCATTAAGCAGAAAATAAATAGTTATCACCCGTCCAAGAAAGAACAAAGGAAATATACTTAACGTTAAGAATTAAATACCTAAAATATTTACTGCGTGAGGCTAATACAATACGATGGGCGTACAATCGTTCTTTTTCTACAACCAAAGTAACATCTGAAAACCTAAAATAAGTATTAAACTTAGTTAATAGTGCAGCTATGATATAAGCAATAATATATTTTGTATTTATTCGAAATGAGATAGTTGGCACAAAAAAAATGTCTTACAATTATTAATATATTTCAATCTTATCTTAGTCACTAGTTTATTATGGGAAATAATAAAAGCAATAATTATTTTATGGTAGGAAGATTATTAAATACAGAAGGGGGGGGGGGAAAGAAGATGAAACTATTTATTTTAACAGGTCAGTCAAATATATTTTTTTATATTGCCTCCTTATTAACATTAACAATAAAAAATATTAATATTAAAAGTATAACATATTATTATTTCTAGCAGAATATAATACGATTTGGGCTACGGTATTATTAAAATGTATAGAAGATAAACGCGCTAAGTTTTGAAAATAACAATTTTAATATACCAAATTAAATACTGCTCACTTGTCACTTAGATAGAGGTTGCTTATATCACTGACCAAGATGTGAGTGTGATCTATTTGCTCGATAAGGGGCGCATCGCGAGCCGAAGGCGGCGTTTTATAACTCTCGTGAACAGAACGCACTAAATAAAATTAATAAAACAGCTAATTTTTTAAATTTGAATTTTTTAATATTTTAAATAATATAATTATGGTAGTTTTATCTTGCCTAACAGAATGATTTAATTACTGTAAAAACTGCCAATGGTATAAAATATTATAATTTTAACGGGTACCATATAATTTTACCTTGAAAATAATTAAAATGTTGCAATTTTAAAACTAACACCTAACCTAATGGTTAGTTTGTTTTAAATATTTACTTAAAAAGTTAAGGATCGTTGATTAAATTTTGGAAAAATTTTAGTTAATATTACTCAGAATAGGAATTCAAAATTTTTTTTAATTTTCTTTTTTAATAAATTTAAAGCTCAATCAACTTTTAGTTACACAGTAAAAAATGCATAGTCGGTCCAACTAAAATTTTGGTTGAAGCAAATTATAGTATAAGGACTTACTATATTTCTAGTTGGGCCAAATAAATTTTTAGTAAAGAGCCTTGTTAAAAAAATTGTATAAATGTACCCAGACTATGGTAAATTTTTGGATATAATTTATGTTCACTTATTATTTTTATTACCTATTAGTTATAAGTTTTAACCTACTTTTTTTGTAACTTAAGCTGTTGGTAAAAACATTCCAAAAATAAACGTTCACACCTCGTAGAATAGGATGATTACAATCCTCTATACCCTAAAAAAAATTGAATAACAAATTGGTTTTATCTTTTTTCATAAACATTTTTTGAATTAAACACATAACTTAATTTAACTAATTAAACGTATAAAATCGGCCAAACGATCACACAACCCTATAAAAATTATATGTATGCCGTTTAATAACTGCGAAGCATCTTCGATTATACGTTACCTCGATAGCACTTAAATCTATTCGACCAGTATAAATATAATGAAGAATTATTTTAACTAAGGTTACTGGTACATCACTTATTTTCACATCCCGTTCTTTGGGTTTTTTATGATCTTCATACAGTAAGTCACTAAAAATAATACACAATATTACTACAAACATAAAATAATGGAGTGAAACGATAAAATTGATAAATTGTACTCTACTTGATATTAATTATACCATTATTGGGATGATGAAACCATTTGTTTGTGTGTTCAAATACATAAAACAATTTTTTTTTTTACTTTAAAAACGTTTATCGTCTTATTCCATTTAGTTTCAAAATATTTAAGTCGATAGCAACGGGAAAAACAAGTGAAAGTACTTTAAAAATTAAGGGTCTCATATTAGGTAACAACGAAACAGAAAGTGCAATAGTCATGAAAATTCCTTGAGGGAGACCGATGACGCGGATTGATTTGAAATAATCCATTTACATTTAGGTAAATTAAGATTTAATTTATGCCTAATATTCAGACTTGATGTTTATAAAACTACAGCCACAAAACAAAAAAAAAAAAAATTTATAAAACAAGTAGTTTCATCAGCCCAATAAGAAAAGCCTAAGGAAATAAACTTAATGATAAGAATTCAATACCTAAAATATTCGCTGCGTGAGGCCAATAAGACACGATGGGCTTGCAATTGTACTCCATTTAAATCCAAAACCACATCAGAAAAGCTAAAATAATTATTAAAATTACTTAATGATGCACATACAGTTATAAAAAGTAATAATAAATTATGTGTAATTTCTAATTCAGGTAATTAGTAACAAGACACTAGTTTAAAATGATAAATAATTTAAGGAATGAAAAATTTAGGATAAAAAGAAGATGAACTACAAGAAGAGGGGAAATGTTAACCTATTTATTTTAACAGATCAGTCAAAATTGTTTTAAATAATGGCTTCCTTATAAGCGTTAACAGATCATCATGAAAGCATCCAGGATATCATATTTAGCCACTTTGTATTCAACCTTTTTTAAATCAAATTAGAATTATTACACAAAAATTGGCAAAATGGTATACAATTACAGCCTACTCTTATCATCTTATTATTATAGGTATAACATAATATATTTTTTACACGCCACGTTATAACGGCCGCCAAAAGTATTTATAGTCTTTCGCCCAAATTGTGGGACGAAAATTACTATCGCACAAGTCATAAGATAATATTATGGGATTATATTTATAGATAGTCTCAATGTTATGTCTCCGCTGTAATTTTAAAAGAATGTATTACATTTTGGGCTATGGTATTATTAAATAAACTTGCTAAATTTTGAAACAAATAAAGTTAATAGGTACAAATTCAACACTGCATACCTGTTACTTAAATAGAGGTTGCTTATGTCGCTGAGCAAGAAGTGAGTGTGGTCAATTTCCTCGTTACTCTGCGATTTGGAAGACGAAGGCCGCATCATATAACCTTTAGGATTAGAACATAATAAAATTACTAAAACATCTAATGTGATAGAGGCATTTGTATGATTTTTTTTCAAGTAGCATCGATTTACACTTAAAAAAAATATATATTATAATATATATATTGTATATGGTCGCACTAAATTCCTAGTTGGGCCTTGCTTGCGAAAATTCCAAAGTTCTAAACTATGACAAATGTTTGGATTTCGAATATGTTCCCTTACTATGAGCTTTGTTTGTATTACCAATAAGTATACCAATTTTTAACCTACTTTTTTATAAATTAAGTTAGTGGTAAAAACATGCGTTACAAAAAAAAAAAAAAAAATGCTCACACCTCATAAAATAATCAGATTACAATAATTTTTTTTTTGTCGGAAAGAGCAAGACTTCCTCCAGGGTACACTGAAATAAGATTTTTGATTACGATACTGAAAACCAAGAAAAAGAAATCTTAGTTGGAAACAAAAAATAGAAAATTCTCCACTGAAAAATATTCAATCATAGATATTTGTTAGCGTTATGGGTCTGTTTAACTATAACAATTGTTATTTAATGAGGTATAATTTATTAAAATATATTGAAAATGTCAGTAAGATGCTTTTATATTTTGGCCACAAAAAATGATAAAAGTGTGCATAATCCTCAACTTGTCTCTCATGGTTACCCCCTCGTTAACTATTTGTAAAAAATCTAAGTCAAATTTACACTTAGAAAACAACTAACAAGTATACACAATTGAATAAAAGAAATGAAAATAAAAGAATGAAAAAATCGCAAGACCTTCTCCACCTTACCTATTGATCAATATCTTAATAAATCATAATATATTTACACATTTTACGAATAGAACCCAATTACATTTTCTTTATAAAATAACATTTTAGCGTGATGCGTTTGTGCAAGTTTGGCATTTTTGTATTATATTATTCTAAAAAAAAAATAATAGTTTTTAGTGGGTTAAGCATTTCTGACGGTATGCGTTTCATACAATTATGACCCGCTACAGCTGCTGAGCAATTAACTTTATACTAAACCCAAATTTTCTTTTAACATTACGGTTCTGCAAAACTACCACAGTTCTAAATTTTTTCATTTAGGTCTCTAATACTATTTTCTAATAAATCGATATTTTAGTGCGGTGTGTCTGGACAAGTTTAGCTTTGTTAAATTATATTCTTTTATAATACTTTATGATGCATTAAAAAAATAAGTATACCACTTATAGTTTTTTAGTTATTTTGAACATGGTTATATTTTTGGGATGGTTACAAACAAAAAATATGTGTGGAAAATTTGGCGCAGACTAGAAAAGCGTTTCAATATATTTGTTTTTTCAAAACTTATTAGTCTATCTATTATAACAGCTATTGAGCAATCAACAAAATACCTCAGTAGCCGTTCAAAATATAATATTTACCTGGAGCTGACCATAAAACAATAAATGCTAAAATAAAAATCCACATAGTGTTATAATACGTGATAATATAAAATCAAATGTTAAAAACTTTTAAAAATACTATAAAGAAAGCCACGTCAATAGATATTGAACACCAATTGAAGTATGCAGACGTGTTACAATAGCGTACAATCTTTTTCAACACGCAACGGGATACGTGTTAAAAGAGCCATTGTGTTTACATAGGGTTTACGAATTTTTGTATAGGCGCATGTTATTGTGGTGTGCTGTCCAACATCAAATACAGATTGAACCTAACTTCAGTCTTGTTGATCATACTTAAATTTCGTTTTTACAATTACTTTTTTATATTATGAACCATACTCTACAGCTTAGTGTCTAGGGGTAGTCTTATACATAAGTTTTATATTTAATTTTTTTAGTATATGTTTTATGTTATA